GAGGTCGTTGGGAACACGCTGCTCGCAACACCCACGTGCGGGTGACATTTTCGGAACATTTTGCGGTTTTCTGCTCGTGATGCTGTCCCGGAATTTTCCGCGTCCCTGTCATGTAGCTAGGTGCCGTTTTTTAAAAAAATCCTGCGCCTTAAAAGCGCGCCGGCCTATTTGGCATGCAGGACCAGATTCAGACTCAGACTCATACCTTCTTATACTTCTTAAATGTTTATCTCGCATTCAAGCTGCCATTTTCCTGACATATATCGTGACCTTCTATCTGCCACTGTCTCTGGCATTTCCTTAATGATATGCTCATTCTATCTTCCTATGCGCCATTCTATGTTGCGTTCCCTCCGACATTTTATGTGGCAAATTTTCTGGCATTCTATCTGGCATCTATTGTAGCCTCTATTTTGACATTCCACCTCGCCCATGCAGGGTTCGGGTCCAAGCGTGCCCCACTGGATCCGGAGCTTGGGATAAGGCTCGGGTCCAGGCGTGCCCCGAAGTTTGCGATATGGTTCGGGTCCATTGGTGCCCACAGCCACGACGAGCTGGCAGGAAGAAGAAAAGGGAAAAGAAAGAGGAACGGAAGAGGAGGGGAAAGAGTTGCACCTCTGTTAATTTCTAGGGACCCTCACCTGGTAGGTGGGGAACCAAATGATTTTGTGCGACATAACGTATGTAGAGAAAACTGTATACATAGTTTAGGTTGGATTTGGTATAAAAAGATATAGATATGCCAGCCAATTTCCATATCAGAAGTTGCTCAGTGACATTTTTCCAAAGAACTTCATCAGATCATGCAATGTATTCAATCAATATCTACTTCTTGTGGGGGTGATTTCCCATTTGTTTCTGACGTTTCCTCTGCTTTTCCCAAAAAAGTCTTTGGCCTGCTGATCGCCACTAGAACTGTGACGCAACGCCACCCATATCCCAACCATCCCCAACATCCCCAACCAACATTTCCATACGTCCCAAAAGAATCCCTGGCGACATGCTTCCTTCATGCGTATTCATAGCCTTCAACGGTGCCTGTAGTACGGCTGCCTGCCCTGAAAGCTGATAGGATTGCCATGCTCAAGAAAGGCACGCCGGCCGTGAATACAAATAGTGATATACGATTTCAACACATGTCAGTCAAGGTATTGTTTTCTTGACTATTAATAATTTCGTTTGGTATTCATGAGTATGCACAAGAAAAATTCCAACCGACATACGTTGCTTCCTTTTCCTCTCCTATTTTCTCGAATGCGTAGCAAAAGGTTCCCGTTTTACTTTGGGGGCCTGGGGGTGGAGACGCGTTCGCTCGACGCTGCTTTCGTGTCCGCAACCGTCCGCAACATGGCCGTGCCTAGGGCGAGTTTGCAAAAGTTGTTTCTTTTAGAGGTTTCAAACGTCGTGTAGCCTCGTTTCGCGTGGCACGCGTGGCACTTTGTGACATTTCCACATATTTCAGAACGTGTCGAAAATCGTTTTGCGTGGCAGGCGTAATACTTTCTAATTGTTTTCAGAAGATGAGTTGCAGCTTCGTGGCAGGCGCAGCACTTCGGAGACCTCCTTTTGTCATTTTGTGTGGCAGACGCAGCACTTCGGACGTGTTGTGTTGCGTGTTTTTTGCGAGTCCCATTGTCGGGCTGCGGGGGGTGGTGACAACGCGCAAATTCCATGGCAGGCGTGGCATTTTGTCACATGCGATAAAAATTGGCGAAAGCCTCGCACGAAACATCGATTTTGAGGTCGCAAATCTTGAGGTTCGCGAGGAAAATCATAAGAAAACGTCATAAAACGTCGATTTTGAAGCTACAAAGTGTGACAATGCGGAGGAAGTCTCGCACGAAATGTTCGTTTTGAGGTTCCAACATGTCCCATCTCGATTCTTTGGTTTTCTTCTGTCGTCGCCCTGTGTATGGGGGAAGCTGCAAAACCCTTCCTTTTCGAAGGTGTCAAGTCAAAACAGGCTGTCGTGTCGTTTTGCGCCCTAGGCGTGGCACTTCCTGAAATTCTCACGTGTCTGCAAAAGTGTTTAAGGTCGTTGAGTGTGGGACACGCGCAATACTTTTGTAAGGTTTTCAGAAAACGAACCGCATTTTCCTAGCACACGCAGCACTTCAGGCGCAGCACTTCAGACGTGCTGTGGCGCGTGTTTTTGCAGATTGCATTGTCACGGCTCCCTGAAGCTGTGACAAAGCGCAAATTGCATGGCAGGTGTGGGAAATCGTGAGAGTTTCATCTTGCGTGGCACACGCAGCATTTGGTGAAGCTCCGTCGTGTCTGGAATGCCGTTTTGCTTGGCAAGCGCAATATGTAATACATTCTAGACTCTACACTCTACACTGCACACTTACACTTTACACTCCACACTACACACTCTACCACGCTCCACTCCAAACTCCACATTTTACACTTCACACTCTACACTCCACACTCTACACTCAACACTCCACACTTCACACTCCACACTTTAGACATTACACTCCACACTTTAGACTCCACACTTTAGACTCTACACTTTACACTCCACACTTCGCACTCCACGCTTCACACTTTACACTTTACACTCCACACTTCACACTCCACACTTTACACTCTACACTTCGAACTCCACATTGTACACTTTACACTCCACACTTTACATTCCACACTTTACACTCCACACTTGAAACTTTACACTTTACACTCCACACTCCACACTTTACACTTTACACTCCACACTTCACACTCGACACTTTACTCTACACTTTACACTTTACACTTTACACTCCGCACTCCACACTTCACACTTTACACTCCACACTCCACGCTTCACACTCCACTTGACACTTTACACTCCACAATCTACACTTCACACTCTACACTTTACACTCCACACTTTACACTCCTCACACCACACTCCTCACTCCACACTTTACACCTTTCACTTTACACTTTGCACTCTACACTTCACACTTTCCACCCCACACTTTCCACTCCACACTTTACACTTTACACTTTTCACTCTACACTTTACACTCCACACTTTACACTTTACACTCCACACTTCACACTCTACACTTTACACTTTACACTTTACACTTTACACTCCGCACTCCGCACTCCACACGCCACGCTTTACACTCCACACGCCACACTTCACATTCCACACTTTACACTTTACACTCTACACTTTACACTCCACACTTTACACTTTACACATACTTACCCTTACACTCCACACTCCACACTTTACACTGTTCACTCTACACTCCGCGCTTTACACTCCACACTCCACACTTTGCACCTTTCACTTTACACTTTGCACTCCACCCTCTACACTTCACGGCAGGCTTTCTTAGCCACGTAGTTAGTCCATGACTTTTTTAGCCCAGATGTTTTTTGTCTTAGCCACGAACGCAAACTTAGCTACGCGATGCAGGGGTGACGCAGGTTTTTGGACTTGGTTTTCAAATGGTTCAAACTAGATCGCTTTGACCTGTTTTGAGCTTGTGCCAAATTTCCGCGAACATAAGTTTGCGCGAAGCTTGCAAAAAGTTTGCGTGCATGTGGTCCCGTTCAACTTTTCCGTGAATGAATTCCACCGAATACTAGATTGGTCTACCAGCAGTTTTGAACGTGGCTCAAATGTTACACCATACTGCCACTCATGGTCGCCCAATTTTTATTGCTGGGATGTTCACGGAAACTTCGCATTTCAGCGATGTTCGTGGCATTTCGTGGCAATGTCATGTCCACGGGCATTTGGGATTTCCAAGGCCATGTGGCCAAACACCCCCAGCTGGGGCACAACCAGCTGAGCAGCCAAAGGCCCACAAGACCAAGGTAAACCCTAGGACAAACGAGACAGGACCAGGAGCGCACAATGGGACCCAATTCCTTTTTCAGGAGTCGTGGATACCCCACAGACTTCTGTGTGGCTTGTGTTCTGTTTCGGTGGTTTATGGTTTTGTGATGATTTGTTGTCATTGTTTGTTCAATGAATTTAGGTCTCATGTTGCCATTTGCCTACACAGCCTAACTCTGTCAACATCAAAATGGAAAGGTGGAAAGGGCAACCAAAAGTTGTATTCAACAGGTCAGAGGTGCACACTCAAGCAGCACAACGGAACCGAAGCTTGGAAACGGATCAAAAACCAATTATAAGACGCGAAAAGACACAAGCTGCAACTGAAGGTATGACAGCCAGAAAGGGAACGCGGAGCAGTGTTTTTGCCTGGATGGGTACGAGAAGAGCCAGCCCATGAGAGTTGGGGCAAATGCTGCCCTGTGATGCTCTGTGCCCAGGGTTGCAACTCGAACTGCACAGCAGCTTGATGGCAAGCAACAGCCCAATACCAGCGCCAATCCATGTTGATTCGACGCACGACTACTGGGTGCACCCCTAACAGGGTGATGGGTAAGCGGTGGCTCAGGGCTCTCTTTGTTCTAGTCGTTCACAGTGCTTCTCTGCGATTGACTGTGCGTAGTGAAAGGACAGCAGGCCAGGGGGGGGTTGCTTGTTGACTTCTGCCGTGTACCGACACATACGAAGAGTGTGGGGTCAGTGAATGTTGAACGGCAGTCTTTGCGAACTGCTTTCGGTACCGCTCAAACATGCTCAAGCCAGCTCACAAAGATTCACAAAGTAAGGCTCGAAGTTCGGTGGGATGAGTCGAATAAGCTCAGTTCCTACTTTGCATTGGGGATCATTGGGTCACGCATGATCCGCGTGCTCACGCACATGTAACGTAGGTTGTTGTTTTTTTTGTTTGTAAATCGCCGATATCATCGCTTTACTCGCCTCTCTCGCCAGGGACTTGGGGGCGTCAAAAATCATTCTGGCACATGCTGGCACAAGCAATCCAGTTGAATCCACTTATCACCTCCAAACTTGAGTGTTGCCTTATTAATGGAATGGGTACGCGGACGATCCAACAATTTGCCATATTTCGGTCTATTTTAGGAATCATACTTCCAGGAAAAGTGCTTGTCAAGCACTGTGAGGCCGCATCTCTTTTTTTCCTCAACCACTTGCGGCTGCATTCGCACCATCAAAGCACGCCGCCTGGTGAACCGAAAGAAGTACAGAACACTTCTCAACCTCAATTGCCTTAACTTGCCAGCTGTCTACCAGCATTTCTGGTCCTAAAACATGGCACCAACCAAGCCTTCAAACACTGTCACAGGCACCCTCAAAAAGAACATGCAACTAATAGAGTGCAACCACAGAAGTGCAAGCTGTGCCTCGCAGTTTTGGGATCTCAAGCCTTGATGTCATTTTTGCAATTGGACAAAGCTGATGATATTCATTGGATCGCATCATCTGGCACTTTTATATAACTCCACAGTGAGACAGAAGACACAAAAACATTTGTTTCATTTGCCTTTGACATGACATGAAACGACAAGAAATGCAGGTCTTGGAGACATCCAACGAACCGGTTCTCTTCGGAAAATGGGCTGGCTTGCCAGAGCTTGACTCAGAGCCATGATCTCCTGAGTTCTAGGCATTCCAGGCTTGACCAGCTCCAATGGCTCCGTTCTGGGCTCCTTATCCCATCGCACCGTTTCTGTACCCAGCCATCTCGGATATCTCGGGCTGATGTACCAGGTCAGTTACCAGGTCATACAAACTTTGCTTTTGTTAAACTAAAAGGCAAATAGGTAATCTTTGGTTTGTAGAAGCAATGTGTGGGGGTTCAAGATGGCCAAGCTGCACTGGGCACAAGCACAGCGTGCCATCTCTGAGTTTCCAACCACTGAAGCCGCCAAATCCAGCAGGTTGTGGCCACCTGACTTTTGCGCCCTTCGGGTATGGGTGTCAGAATCAGGGTACCCCATGCCCCACAGCATAAACCCATCCATTTTAGGGGTCGGTACATGGCACCGAACAAAAATGCATGGGGAGAAGGAGAATGCAAGTCTGGAAAGCCTGATGTTGATCCAAGGTGATCCTCTAAGAAGTTCTCAAGATCCATGTGTCACTGTTCTATTTAAAGACTTGTTCAACTGGCCAAGAAATACCGAAAGAAGATCAAAGATTCAGCTGGTGCAAGCACCTTTGCTGCCACGCTGGATCCCACTCCTGCGACCATCCAGGACCTGCGAATGCCATGTCACTGATGGCAGAGGAGATATGATATCCATGGATATCCTAGATAGCCACAGGAAAATCTTTAAAGCGAATCTTGCCGTGTCTTTTCGCTTCAGATTTCTACAAATCTCAGTGAAGACTCTTCTCGATGTCACAATCGCCACATTCGCAGCTGCCAACATCGGAGCTGTACCTTGTTGATCATCCCAGGACGTCGTATCAGGAGACCCTATGGCAGGCGCCATGCTAGGTCCCATGGAAGATCCAATGGCAGATCCAATGGGAGCTCCTATGGGAGCTATGGCAGATCCCATTGGTGCCATGGGAGCCCAGTTGGCTTCCTGTCGCTCGTTGCCCCACTCCCATGTCTCCGGCTGGAAGGCTCCTGCAAGAGCTCAGAGGCTCAGAGTCAAGGTGCGAACATTTTCGATGGGTCAAAAGCCGGGTTCTGAACCCCAAAATAGATGGTACTGGTACAGCAAATGGATCTTCATCCCCCCAAAATATGGTAGGTCTTGAGCCATTTCCACATGGCAGACTGGTTGGCAACAAGGAAACACCAGAGTGATGCACCTCCTTTGCCGAAGTCACCATGATTTCCCATGGAAGGGTTCCAATTGTTCTTGCCTGGAAGCAGGCGTTTGCGGTTCGCATATTGCGTCACAGCATCTTAATAGTCTTGCAGATAATGCGCCAGTGAAATGGCTTGTCAATCAATAACAACGTATCCCATCCACGGTTCTGATCACATGATGGACCCAAAGTGCACCTTTGCCCCAAGCTTGGTCGGGCCAAGCTGGTGCTTGCCAATCTCCTCCAGAGTTTTTGAGTTGAAGACTCAGTCTAAGTCATTTAGCGGAAGGACCTGTTTTTCAACAATGGAAACTAAGACACTAAGACTAGGTCGTATTAAATAACAATGAAGGTTGAATTCAAAAGAGTATGAGACTCATATCGCCAGGCCCAGCAGTAATGCATCAAAGACTGGCACGAAATTTCGTTTGGCAAGCATTCAAAGTTAAGAAATTCAATTTTGAGTGGATTGAAAATCCATGATAATCGCAACTTCAAACGTATTCAAAGCATTCCAATAGGAAAGCCACCACGTGACCCGCATCCTTGCCAGGACTGACCTTCCCATTCATTGGACCAACCTGCAGAAGGAACAACTGAGTCTGTTTATTTTGTACAGTACCATTGGTACAAGAACGAGCCCAACACGAAAGATTTTGGAATGCGGTCTCATGTTCACCTGTTTGCGTATAATTATTCTGTCCAAACCTACAGTTTGAAAAGGAACACTTCAAACAATCAAGCTAATTCTAGTCTTCCACTCGTCAGAACCCATTCTGTCTTGGCATCAAAGTCAAAAAAATCTCTTTTCATGGCCCAAAGGAGGTTTTGCTAGGCGTGTGTAAGTTCTTTGGGCCCAGAAATGAAGATTCTACCACAAGAAATCACAGGGTGCCTGGAGACTGATTCGCACCCTGCCGGCAGGACAGTTGGTCATATGCGTTCGGCTTGGTCATGACACAGCAGAACTAAACTCACATGAAATGGACATCAGCTTGACAAAGTAAAAACTTGGAGTCCATCAGCTGCAACATTGTCAATCGGACGTTTCTTTAATTCAACAGCATGGCGAACCTTGGCGAATCCTTTGCCTTGGCACACAACTCATCGCCAAGGGCATGGAGTGCGATAAATTCCCCGCATGGTTGGGAAGGAAACGAATGCCGCTTCTTGGGAAGCCAAAAAGATCAAAGGTTGCTGCAGGTACTTTTTCGAAAAAACATGTGTATCATTGAGCTACAGACCAGGACCAGGACCCCAAGCATTCTGCGGCATCCCTTGTACCTGCAGCTCCACGACAAATCTCGTCCGGATCTGTTTTTGCAAACCCACTGGCGGCCTCGAAAAAAGGAATGGAATAACTCTGTTATCTGCTGGAAGAAGGCTGGAAATGGATCAACTTTGGAGTGCAAATTGCTGAGAATGCGACTGGCATTCTTGCCGGCATACCATCTTCACCCTCCCAACTATGGCATCGAGCTACATCTGCTGCACAGGATGGACACCTATGGTCCCGCCTGGTGCCCAAAGCCACAGGGCCGCATCCCATTTGGCCTTAGAAAAATTGTGCCACCAACTCCCACAACAGTATATACAGTATCAGTGGAAGCCAACCTAAGCCAACCTAAGCCAACCTTGCACAGCTTCACATAGTAACTGCAGTAACTGGAGCAACTGTACCAAGGTCCAGACATTTGTGGAGGCAAGCCTTGACCTGGCATACCTGGATTCAGTCGCAGCAGTCTTTTCCGGAAATTCCAAAGGGCTTCGAAAAAGCCAACAAAATCAAAAACCAACTAACCTACTTTGCAGCTACTTTAACATGGCAAGGGGGCTATTAAAATGCAAAAGTTGAAGCAACATATTTGCGAAACTTGCACCTGTCGGCATCAAGGAGTGATCCTGGTTCATGAAATTCACCTGATAAAGGCCAAAGACTGGCTGGGGGAAGATCTGCCAGTAGGGGGAAAAACACTAGAACAAAAGAAAAGGATGGTCCATATTGCGTACCTCTCATTTCACTTATTTCAGCAAGAATGGTGAAGTTCAAATGTGCTCAGCAAACCCTTGTACATCCCGAGCAGCAAAAAGAACTCAATCGGTGCAACGCGGCAGATCCAGAACTGGGATGCAGCAATCAAATGCAGCTGAAGCACAACCAGCTCGCGACCCCTGGCCACGCAGTCAGGGAAGCCAGTGATCACCACCTTGTTGACGCCTGGTGACACCTCCTTCACCTTGGGGAAAAATACAGCAGGAACCAGCAAAAGGGGAATGTCAAACCACCAAGGAGCAAGAAGCCAACAAATTCATGACGGCCTAGTTGCCGTACTTCATCCTTTCACAGTCACGTCCTTGGCTTCTGACTGCCAAGTAGGCACCACTCTGGTCTTTCATGTTGGAGATATTCTGGCCTGCGATGTACCAACTAAGAAGAGACCAGCTTAGAATGGAGATGAACCGCTGGCACTCTGATCCCTTCCCTTGTTTAGGGATCCCAACACGCATAATTTACCAATTTACCTTATCGCTGTCACCCATAATTTGGTTGGAGCAACCCTATTGTTTGAACGAAAAAAACAATTAAGCCAACAAGTAGGCAAAACAAAAAAGTTTATCAGTGAAATGTTCCGGGCTTGGTAGAAAGGCGCTCGACTCCATGGGGTTGTAACGTGGAACACTAGTGTCATACGATGATTCATGTAGCCCCATAGGATCTGCGCACAGGAATGTGGGAATTGCCACAATTATAGAACGGAAGTTGAGGAGTACGAAAGTACGGTTGTTTACCGTACCCTGTTGTTCCATAATTTCTGTTTCCTCAGAACGTTGGGGAAAAAATTTACTCTCAACTTACTCTGTTTGTCGTTCTATAATTCTTGTTTGTGTTCCATAATTGTGTTTTCCGCCATATTTCTCACATTTACCAAATCTGTTCTATAATTGCGTGTTCTATAATTAAAGCTGCAATAATTCCGTTCTATAATTCTGGTTTCCCAGAAAGATACATAAAATGCTGTAAATGCATGTAAGTAACCTCCAAGACTCACACAATCTGCGTGTTGCCAGTGGTTTCAATGGGAATTTGAGGACCGAGGTATGTACTGTACCATATACGGCCATATTCTTTGGAAGTCGAGAAGCACACATTAATTATAGAACAGCCAAAAATTATATAATTATAGAACAGGATCCGAATCCGCGCGGAATCGGGAATCGGAGGAGTACGAAAGTACGGTATTTTACCGTACTTTTGTACTCCTAATTCCGTTCTATAATTGTGGCAACTCCTGTAGCAGAGAGGCGGGTGCCTTTCGGTCCAATGAGTCTAGAAATCAGCCGGGAATCAATGTCCTGCAAGCTCAATTCTGTTGCTGACAATAATTTTGTATGCCAAGGCCAAGCAGAAAACTTGCAGCAGAAATCATCACTGGGAATGCAAAGTATCTGATGGGCACGGTATGCTTTCCTAAACAAATAATGAACGCTGATGTGTGGTTGATACATCACGTATGTAACAGAGCGAGAGAGAGGCAGAGACAGACAGACACAGACAGACAGACAGACAGACAGACAGAGAGAGAGAGAGGGAGAGAGAGAGAGAGAGAGAAAGAGAGAGAGAGAGAGCGAGGGAGGGAGGGAGGGAGGGAGGGAGGGATTGGCTGACACTGACATAAATGTAGATATGTAGTAGGTATCGATATGGATGGATATGGATATGGATATAGAAAACAGACTACATCTGAAACAGATAATATATTACACATACGTATAATTATATATAACTGATGGGCATTGACATGCACTACTCTCATAGAAATCGGCCTTACCCCAAATCCAGATACCGTCTCAAATCGAGGTCCATCGTTTCCGAGATGTTGCCGATGGCCGTTAGGTCACCATCAACTACGGATTGCACCTCAAACCATTGGAACTCTGGGGAGTTGAAAACCATTGGCTCATCCAAGCAGGCGAACGCCTGACTGGAAACCCTTCATAAAATACCCATTATTCATTTTTTGGCATGAGATTTAAGCTCTGGAGTTTTGCCCTTCAACATTCCTGTGCTGTTACTCTTAGACATCTCACCCCCTGTATCGAATATTCGTGTTTGGGATGCTACAAAGATATACAAAGGTGGGATCAGGTGGGTAGGCAATGCTGCAATGCTCAACAGCAAACCTTTTTCCAAGTGGCTAAGGCGCGACACTGCTCCACAGCCGCTGCAGAGCCCACCTCAGAATTCAATGAAAGACAATGAGAGAACGACCTGGCAGACAACAGTGGTCCAATGGAACCTGCAAGGAACTATCTGGATGAACACTTTTTTCCTTCAGCCTGATCTCCAGGAGATACTGCAGCTTTGGGTGCCCCAGCAATCTCCACATTGGCTGGATCATTGCGGTCGAGGACGCCCACCTTCATGACCCCTGTCTGGGACTTGATGGCTTTGATGTTCCTTCCGCATGGGATTGAATCAGGATGGTAAGGCAGGTGGCTTGCCATGATGCTGGAAACGCCTTGCAATCACGTTGCTTCTTCTGAGCTGCAAAGTTATACAATTAGCACTACGAATCCAATCAATGCCGCTCATATGCTGCAATCACAAGATCTACTTTTTGCTGTTCCATTTGATAATTTGTGATCTGCACAAGTGCACTTCATGGTGTAAGACCAACATGTCTTTTAATGTCTTGTATGAAAACACGATCTTGTCAAACGAGTCTTGAAAAAGAGCACAACAGCACAACGGAATAACGTGGGAAGCTGTCACTCCTTCCCTGCACACCGAGTAGATCCTTCACCTCAGCCATCGCGGAACGATGTGTTTGGCATAGACAGCATAAACTCACTACTGTAAATGCTTCCGTCCCACGGGTCATGTTACAATAAGCCTGGAAAACGTGCAAAGAATAACTGTTTAAACACTGGCAGGTGCAGCGCAAGTTTGAGAAGCGCAACATTGTACAAAGTCTCCTGTATCTCCATTCATTTCACATTTAAGTCATTGAGTGTCATTTAAGTAAGCAATGGCTAGGCACCAAGCACGAGAGGCAGGTACTTGAACGTGGACAGTTACATCCCCCTCCTCTCCTGGCAACGTGCCCCAATTACCGAAGTGGCATCGGGTCTTGGCTTCTTGCAATTGTCAAAAAGTCACGTCAAAGAATGGCGGCACAATTCTCCCAGATATGTACTTGGAAGGCACATCAGAGGAAACGCATCATGTAGCTCGATGGATTTGTTTTGTCCGTGGGGCCAAGAAAATGCAAAGTACTTTCACAAATTCACCTATAGCCAACTCAGGCAGCTCCAAAACCCCGGGCCCAAGCTGCCCTTTTGGCAAGCTTAAGCAGCATGACCAGGCGGGCCTCCAGATGCCTGAGAACTGCTCAGCAACATGGGTCCGTCTGAAAAGGGCCCAAGTCACGTCATGGCCATTTAAAGGAGGAAAATGATGATAGCCCACATGACACCTTTCACTCATCGTGAGTCTGCCTCTCTCTCTCTCTCTATGTGGTGCCTAGCACGCAAATGGAAAAATGCATATCTTGGTGTGTAAATAAGTGACAATGACACCATGATGATCATGATGTCAAGCAATATTGCTCTTGCAAAGCCAACTGAGTTCCGCACAGGGTGGGATGCCATCAGCCTCAGAGGTTCCCAAGCAATCAGCAATGTGACATTGAAAAGCAGACTCATGCAGACTTCATGAGCTTCCCAAGAGCGGTGTGCAGTAAAACTACAAACTCAATTTGAAACTCCACATTGCAAGGACTATATTTGGACCAGATGCGTCTTCAGTCTGCTATCAATGATCTATCAATGTAAAACGCCTCCCCCTGTGCCACCGAACGATGCCGCTATGTTTGCACCTGCGGCTTGTGCCTGTCGACTTCTGTAGGCGCTGAAGGGGAGAGAAACTGTACTTCAGTATCTTCAGGGGCGGAAGAAAATCGTAAGACCTTCTTTCCAGAAGGACAGCTTCCGATGATTTGTTCCATGTCAAATCCCGTTCCAGCCTTCAACTCGCAACATCCTTTGCTCACTCTTGCTGTTGATCGAGTCACATTCAAAACGGACCCCCGAAATCAGGTTTGGGCCTGCATCAGCGGAGTCATCACGGGCACCGGCGGCGTCCCCACAGCAACTGGAGGCACCGGAACCGGAACCACACGTGGCGGCACGGTTCGCACAGGCGAAGGAGAAGTTTCGACCTCAAACTGAAGGCCGAAAACGCTCTCATAGGCGGAGCACATGAGAAGAAGAGATGGGTCTTAGTGAAAACTCTTAGTGAACTGGACTGGAATGGGGGTAATGTGTCACTGGTGGAAAACGGCTGAGAGCTCTGCTGGTGGCTGATCCCAAAGCCTGGAATCCGCAAATGGATAAAAAGGATCAATCGGGATCAGAGAACAACAAAGGCAGCTGGAAGACCTGGAAGACTCAGATTTGCTCACCTCTTCACCTCTTGTGCTACCTTCTCGGCTCTTTCTCGGCGAGCATTCTGTCGTTCTCGTTCCTGGCGAAGGAGGTTCATTTTAGCGACGCCTTTGAAGCCTCCGAAACTGGTTGATTTCCAATTCCTTCCACCACCATGATCGCATCTTCATTTTCTAAACATGGGAATGGTATCCAAACGTGATCTTCCTCTTCGGCGGCTTCACTCTACTGAACCAACCATAGAAAGTTACAGAAAACTCTGACAATACTTCACAAACACGCCAAACATATCTTTTTAATGCCAGCCTCCTCTTCGAGCTGCTCTTCAAGTTCTTTCCTCTCGCGCTCTTCCTGGGGTAAAAATGGATGCAATTTGCATGCCATTCGCAGAAACGGGTCTGGCATATTTCAAGTCTATTGAAGCAACTTGACATATGGTATGGGTAGTTATGGGTGTCTGAAAATAGGGCACCCCAAAAGCCCATTGGTTTATCATCGTTTTCAAGCCATACACTGAAACTCCAGCATCAACTCAGTCGTTGGATCGCCTCCTCAATGCGCTTCTGGCGCTCTCGTTCCTGCCGCTCGGCCTCACAAGTCTTTCTGGGAGCCGACGGCGTATATATCATTTGTATACATATATATATATATACAATCATGATCAATCATATACATGTTATCACTTGTTTGTTGGTTTACGGTTTTATACATGTGCAAAGTTTGCTTTATGATCTTGTCTGCCTATTGTTGCGCGCGTGTGTGTATATGTCTTGTGTGTGTGTTGTGTCTGTTTTGTGTGTGTGTGCGCGCATTTCTATGTATATAATATATATATATATATTATACGTATATATATATATATTATATTATGATATACGCACACCATAGACTTACTGTCTTTTTGGCTTTCTGGCTGTTCATCATTTCAGGCATTCGATTGTGGGGAGGCGGTGCCTCCTCTCGCTGTTCGCGTTCACGTCTTTGGCGCTCCCGCTCCTCTTGCTTCCTGGCAAGCCCGGCTCATTCAGTCTGCACTTGCAGCAATTCCGACACGAATCTCTGGAAACCTACGCACATCATCACACACCATCGCACACCATCAAGCGTCATCATCATACATCATACATCGTCAAACAACCTCATACATCCACACACCCACCTCAGTGGTCTGATGCTCTGCGCACACATGGACGTTCTTTTCATCTTTACCGAGCAGAGCTGTACAATTCTTGGGAGTGAGATGAAGGCACAGTACAGCCCAGCACTTCGGTTTGATGCTGAAAACTGAACTATCGTTGGCCTTCCCTTTCAAAAGCAACTAGGGCATCCAAATGGTAATGATGGTAGTCAAAACAATTCAAAACATACTATGTACATACACAGAACGGCGCTGTGCTCAGAACGCAAAAGAATGGCAAATGTCACTGATCCACGTCTGTATCCACGAAGATTGAAGTCATGCTTCTACCACACTTGAGAACAGCTTCTGAAAGAGTGTTTTGTTGCCTCCACAGCACATATCAGAATGCAAAGGAATGATACATAACATGTTCACGCACCCGTTCATAAGAAGCGTCCATCCTGGAAGAAAAACTGAAGACGCAAAAACTGAAGCGATTTTGCCCACTTCACAGTATATAGGCATTTGCGATTCCATTACCAGTTTTATCCCAATTTTTAACAACATTAGTGCCCAACACTGACATTGGCATTGGCCTACCGTATGATCAGTTTTTTTTCTTAGCTTTGCCAGGTGACATTCCAAGTGAATCCCCGGTGCAGAGGACTCGCGTGGACCATTGATATTTAGAACTCGGATGTCGTTCTCCTGGCGGAGCGACTGTCACAAGTCTTGCTCTCCGGTGTTTGGACTTGGGGCCCTGGTTTCAGTTTCTGATTCTATTGGTTGGATTCAAAACGAAACCACTCCTGGAGCCACGTCTTGAAAACCTTGATGTCCTCACTTCTCCACACTGCTCCAAGAACCAGCAATGGCTTCTTCAAAGCTTTGACTACCTGAATCCCAAGATTGGTTCCATCCACAATAATCGTAGCTTTCGGCAGGATCGTCAGAGTACCTCTAAGACCAAAAGAATGTGACAAGGGAGACGTGCTCTGTCAGTGGTCTGGGATCAAATGTCAGTTTACTCTGTTGACAAACAAGCTGATCACACCGACAGCTGCACTCAATTTCATCGACACGCGCACCTGAGCTTTCCAATGCATTCATCAAGGTTCGTCGGGCCCAAATATCGGTGCTGTTGAAAGAGATCTTCAGAGACTCAAAGAAACCTGGCTCCATCTGGGATCGACAGTCTTGGAATTCTTTATTACTCCTCATCTGGGCATGGCTCTCAAACTTGGGGTACCAAACAAACCATGCCTTTGATTGTCGTTTGGTATTGAACATGACTAAACAGATTAAACATTATCAAACTGATTAAACCATTGATTTGCACCGAAATGTTCAAAGTTGAACTGCTCCGAATCCACCTTGGTGTTCATCCCAAACGGTCGTAGGCAGAGCTTTAAGGTGCCACGCTTCAGCCATGGGCCCAATCGGACCGTTTTCATCCACCTGCCGGATTTGCCATTGGCCGCCAAAACATGCCGAAATCATGGATAAAAGACGGATAAATATGGCTAAATCACCGACTGAAATGAAATGAAATGAATATTATACATATATTCTGAATATAGTGAATCATGGATTATCATGGGTTCTTGATTCAAATGGATTCAGGCGATCATTTCCGCTCTTCCCCTTGATCCAAGGCACATAGCCTGGAGGACACCATCCTCCTTCTGCGGCAAGGATGTGTTTTTTTATGTTTCCACAGATTTGATATGTTGGGATATTCCAAGGTATTGGATTCCGTAGTATTTCTATAGTATGTCCAAGGTATTCCATGGTATTCCATGGTATTCCGAAAAGTTCAAGAACAATTCTAAGAACCAACGGGTGTTCTATGTTTGTCCAAAGTTAAAAGACAATGAATCACAACCCTTGGGGAGTCCTGTCGCCAGACCCAAATCATGGGCCACTGCAAGTGCTGCTTGATCAACTCCTGTTTGTCCTCCAGCAACGACTCCTGAGACAAACTTCTATTGGCAAACATCTTCAGTGCCCCTCCCAGCTGGGATGAAGATCTCACAGCAACACCGTGGGCAACCGGGCAACCAAGTGACTTTCCAATGGAATTGACATGGCGGAGACGAATGCAGCAAGGCAAAAGTGCCAGGGCCAGGAAGCCATGGGCGAATCCAGGAACTGCTTTCCAGAACCAGAGGTGAAATATGTGATCATAATGTGTTTCGGAAAGGCTTTCTACATAAGTGTTTCCAGTAAGGTCTTCTTTGAGTATCGTTGTTCAACCCATTCTCTGGAATATATGGACGCTGTGTGCGCTCAGCTGCAGTGCTTCTGTTGAGCCCAGGGCGCCTTGCAGAATGCATGTGTTCGTATCCACATTGTCGGGTGCTTGCAACCGTGGCATGCGCACTGAGCTAGAAAGAAAAGATAGAGAGAAAAAGAGAGAGAGAGAGACACACACACATACACAAACAGAGCCAGATAGAAACAAAGATGAAAAGAAGATAAACATTTTTTCACATCACGATAAAATGCCTCTGTGAGCTCTGAAGTAATTGTCACGTCATCCTTCTCACAGCAAATCCACTGCGCTAACAATATCTGTAGTCCACCATCGGATTCCGCATGAAACAAGCCATCCCTCTAGCACTCAACAGTCTTGCCCCAGCTGACGGGGAATATGACATGTTTCAACAAGCCAGCAGCACTCTTCTTCTGCCATCTTCGCCTGGCAACCCGTTAATTTCCATGATAGATTTTATTAAGATCAATCCCCAAGATATTGGGTTGTATACTGTATACTCCTTGAAAATTTGATCATCAACCAACAGGGGTGTTTTCAGAGGATGCACAGCAAAAAACACCAAGCTAGAATTGGGCACCACAAACCTTCAATGAAGATTCGATACAAACCCCCAGGCCCATGATGATCTACCCAAAAGCGGACGCACCTGCCTTCCATTCCTCCATTTCTTCTGCCGTCACCGTCGCTTCTTCTGGCTCTTCGTCATCGTCTGACTCTTCCTCCAACGTTGGAACAGTCACATCGAAGTTTTAGAAACTGCTATGTTTCCCTAACAGCATGTTTTAAAAATTTTTAATTATCTAAAACCACCCAAAACCTAGACCATTATATAATTATATAGTCTATATTCATTTCTGGTTTTCTGGTGTAGCACCTAAATTATTGATTCTCTGTGCAAATCGTATGTGGATCTGTACATGTCTGTAGAATACATTGCAGTCTTCATTGTTCTCAACTGACAATGAAGCGTGCCTGCCACTTTTTGCGTTTTTTTGCGCCGCCCTGAGATCTTGGCCATGACAACTTGCAGTGAGAGCATGTTTTTGTGGCTGAATTGCCCGGTATTCTGGAAACATCCTCCAAATATCCTGGGAATATCCTCTAAAGATCTCTAAAGAGTTCCGCGGTCTTCCCCTTCAAGTTGCCTTGGAGGCTAGGTCTTCTCTCTTGCGTCCCAGCATAGCAGCCTTGGTCCGAGCAATGAAGATCTCCTCGAGGATACATCAATCAAGCTCCCAAATAGAACTCCCAAAAGGCTATCCTGCTTACCTGTGGAACGCATAAGAAGTTTGTGGAAAAAAAATTAACGGAGGTCCCAACTTGGATTCGTTGCTGAGGTCTGATTTGCTGCTAAGGCACAGCACATGGTGTAGCGCAACGTGCGCTATTCACGCCGTGCTCACGGCCAGTGAGAAAAGGGAGAGATCAGTGAACAGTGGTGGTGGTGCGTGGCTGGTTTTGAGTTGGTGCTGCATGGTTCTACGGGGCAGGAAATCTAACCAGCTTCAAGTCAATCCAGGTGCCTTTAATGAGATTGCTGCAAGCTATCAACGTTTCAGTTGTGGAGTGTCCCTGCCAGAGACAGCTTGCAAATGGGTGGCAAACGCTCGTGGGAGGGAAGGATGTTGGACAAGTAAGAGCCACAGCCTGCCTTGCCATGCACACAGCACATGATGTGTTGCATAGTACTTCTATCAACTCGGAGCTGAAGGACATGTAGCCAAAAAATGGGTGCCATCTTGCATGTTTGGTCATGGTTGCCAGTTTTTGAGTGGGGCGATGTTTGGCCAAGCCTTTCACTGGTCAAGAGCCTTCATCTTTATCTTGCATGGTTCAAAGCTTTTGAGCCGAGGCAAGAATCCATTTCAAAGCGCATAGAGGTCAGCTACTTGAGACTTGAGCACTACACTCGCTCTGTACCCTTGCTTTGATACTTATCACCCTTGCTGTCGTGCAAGAAATAGTTGGTTCGACGGTTTAACAGGCCCGTTCCCGGTCGTTTTTTGTCATCCGAGTATGCTCTCTGCTCTCGTTGGATCTATTCAACCGCAGCTTCTTTTAGAGCTTCGCGGGGCATGTCCTCATCCTGGCGGAAACTGAGGAAGTCCGCTGCGGGATCAGGCGGAGGCATTGAAATTCGCATAGAACGACATGATAAAATCCCAAGAAAATGGCATGCGCCCACCGCCCACTCATGTGGAACTGGCACTGTGAACTTTTGCATCCTAGAGAATCCACAAGCTGCCAGCATCAATAGCACTCTTTGGGAGTTGTAGAATCGGCTTTTGCAGCAAATGCCGCACGTGCTCCAAGCTTGTGTTACCATGTCATCCGCTCTCAGCGCCTCTTTCTTCAGCTGCGCGTTGGCCTTTTCCAAAGCTTGGGCAGCCTCTCTTGCTGCGCTTTGCACCTGAGCCAAGAATTTCATGAATCCATCCATCTCGAACAAGCTCCCAGCGGCCGTCCAAACATCTAGGATGTAACCAAGCACCAGCATCAACTTCCGACTTGTTATACAACACAGGAGATGTGGAGCCTACCTCCAACAGCTATCGTCAGCCAACACTCCTTGCTACTTAATTACTGCTACTTACTGCGGACATGGAAGACAGGAAATGTGACCATCCAAACCAATTGGAAAGGCACCTCTATATACATAAAAAAGTGATATTTCATACACTCACGTGCCATTCTTGCCTCATCTATAATACATTGTATGTCTTTCGACATACCAGTATCTACGAATACCAACAGCGGAATCATGTCTCAGCATTCAAACACATTGCATCCACAAACGCATATGAACACATCAGGTAGAGAATCTGTGGGAACATGTACTTGCACGATTCGATCACAAGAGTTTCGGATTGTCAACTGGTGCAGCTTTCAAGAGTTTTACTGCTCGCAAGTCTCGTCATCCCGACAAAGAGTTGCTGGGTTTCCCATAGAGCACCATTGCCGCAAAATCTCATGGCTCCGGGCATTGTGCTGATATTTCTTGAAATCCTTGCGCATGTGCATCAGTGCCACAGCTCAGCAAGTGTTTTGAAAAGAATAACAAAAGGAGGGGTATTGTGGCGCGGCCACATGGCAAGTAATCTGCAAATGTGCTGCAAAATCGCGAATCTTAGGCACCTTGCAGTAAGCACATGGGAGATCAAAAGTTGAGGTCATAAGTCTACCACCAGCTTCGCCTTGGGATTCTCCGCAGCAAACTCCTTGGCTGCTACCTGCCATATGTTGAGCACATAAACGCTAACCACCACTGTTCACGATGGGTGTCACCCCCTGTTGGCTTCTTGGTGGCATGTGAAACACCATAGGAGGGAAACTGTCCTTGCTTTGATCATGCCAGTTTTTTTCCTTTCCCGCAAGCTTCAGCAGACTCATTTAAAGTCATGAAGTCTCTGCGGACCCACTGCTGTAGAGATGCAAACAGCGGAAACCAGCAGTTGCAAAGGTACGAACCCAGTATGTCCTGGAATCCCTTAAAGATCCTTATAGACTATACCCAATCAGTATTACCGCTGCTTCTGTGGCTTCCGATCCCAAAAAGGTGAACAATGTTAATCATAAAATGGTGAATGGTGCCAAATGGATCCGAATGTAATACATCCTTCCCCGTGGTTTCATAGGCAATGCCCAGTCAACTTTTGGCCTCTGCGGACTGCGAAGCGGTCTTTGCATTCTGCAAGAGGGCTGCATACTGCACCAGGCGAAGGGTGGGGTTCCATGCCCCAAAATGGATAGTTTAAAATGGAAATTTACTGTTGTATAAAGGGATGAAAATAGGGGTACCCCCATTGTAGGAAACCTCCATATGTATCAATATATGACATACTTGATATAAGGACTTGTTCAACCCACTGACCAGCAACTCCAGAATGGACTCCATAATGCTGCAATTCGATGCAATTGGTATGATTTGTGCCGTCCTCATCGAGATTCTTTGTGAGTGACCTGCCAGCACCATTCGAAACGATTTTCAAAAAGGGATCAGCGTGCCAGCATCTCTCTGAACAGCCGCCAGAGCCGGCACTGCCTGAGAATCACCGAGAAATCACTGAGATCGCTACAGAAAATCATCCTCAATGCCCTTCTTGCTGTGACCCTTGTGCACCTTGTGCACGTGCTTGGCCTGGTCGTGCAAGCATGTTTCCGGCTCTCACAAGAGCTGGTAAAATGTGCGAGAGAGCCAACCTAAGCCTCGAGCATGCTACGAATTCACACGTATACCGTATACACAAGCATGTAAACAAATACACAATACCAGTATGGTTGTTTCTTTTAATGTATATGCACAAATGCGTAGCCTAACTTGTATCTACATAACATAATTAATATAATCATAAAATCGCATCACATCACATGAAATAAACATATGCAGGTGTCGCCTCCAAGGTCTCCACCAAATGTGGACGGGAGCTGCTGGAGAGGGGCACAAGACCAAACCTGGGAAGATGGAGGATTGAGCCGTGGGAAACCTATTGGTTTAACCATTGGTTGAACCATTGGTTTATATAACCATTGGTTTAGTCCTTGAATCATCAATGCAATAATATAGTTTCAATTGGTCCTAATTTAAAGATTGAGCATGATTAAACCATGTATTGTACCATTTTGACGGATTAAGCCTAGTTTAACATTGGTTTAACCATCAACAACAGAGATAAAACCGTACTAAACCAATCACAATCTAGGTATGGCTCAAGATTGTCAACCAGCCGGATGCATGCTCTAATATCCTTTAGAATTAGGAAAGTCTTTGGCCTGCAAACACTGGAAAATCAAAAAAACATATTAATTTTGTCATTTTGGTGTCATTTTGGTGTCATTTTGTTGTATTTTTTTTGTCATTCAGGTTTGTCATTCCGGCTTGTCATTTTGGATTTGCGTTGTCATTTATTCATTTTGCTGTCATTTTGTTGTCATTTGTTTGTCATTTTATTGTCATTTTGGGAACGGGAAAATGCAAAAAAAAAACTTAAAAAATGACTACCATGACAGACCTTTTGTTACCTAGTGGCAGCACCAAATACAAGGAACAAGTGCAGAAACTCTTGGAAAGGCAGCCGGCGGTGAAGAAGGATAGGGCAGGGGAGCTTGCCCTGAGGAATTCGTTTTTGGGCCTGCCTGGACGAGGAGTTGTCTCCCGGCTCGGGTGCAGGCTTGGGGGGGGGCGGCTCAAAAACCGGGTTGGGGGGCCGGGGCCGGGGTGAAATGGCCCGGGGTGGGCGGCTCAGGGCCGGGAAGCGGGGCCGACCTGGAAACTCCAAAAACGCAACTTTACCAGCACGGGAATCCTTTTTGTTTGCATGTTCTTTGCATTTTCTTTGCGTTTTTTTTGCATTTGTTTTGCATTTCCCAGACTGGGAGTCATTTTTTTTTGGCATCTTTTTTGCATTTCCCAAACCGGGAGTCATTTTTTTGCATTTTTTTGCATTTCCTAGACCGGGTTTGCCACCTTCACCACTTGCCTGATCCGGATGAGAAAACGACAAGAATGACAAAACAATGACAAAAAAAATGACCCGCGTGCTGGTGAAATTGCGTTTTTGGAATTTCCAGCTCGGCTCCGGATCCAGCCACCCGCGCTGGATGAGAAAACGAAAAGAAAATGACAAACAAATGAAACAAAAATGACAACAAAATGGTTAAAAAAATACAAAAAAATGACAACCAAGTGGCAAAAAAATAACAAAAGAATGACACCGCAAAACAGGAATGACAAAAAAATGACAAAACCAAACGACAAAAAAATACAAAAAAATGACAAAAATAAATATTCAACAACCCTCAGAGTTTGCTGGTAAAATTTTCATAATTTTAGAAGTTTTTGGATGATGTCATTTTTCCATTTTGTGAGTCGATTCATTCCCCAATACATGTTGTTGTTGAATCGTCCAAATCAATGCGACACAAGTGGGCTGGGTTTGGAAAGTGCCATTTGCAATGCACAAAACTCTGAGTTGGCTGACAAACAAAGCCACCCCGCAACTGCACCCATGACTCGCCAAATCATGAAGCCTGTGGAGCGTGATCCATGTCAAATCATTCAGGCTGCCACAAGCATCATCAGACCATCAAGTTTCGTGAACGCAAAGGTTTTGTTTATTGGTCTACCTCCACATCTGCTGTTAGGATTTCATGCGTCAACAATACTATCAACATCTATCAAACAAAACAGGTCTACTCTTCAGGGGTTGGAATGGTTTCAGTGGTTGGGCGATAAAAAAACTAGACGACGGATGGCCCGAGAGCGTAGAGGAGCATAGTGAGAGGTGTAAGTATGAAGATTTTTTGTATGAAACATCAATATCGAAATATACGATGATGCCTAAAATGAAGAGACATGGTGCAGACATGTTGTGAAAAGTATGTACATATGAAGAAATGGAAGAAGAAACAGAAGAAAAATGAAACGAAGGAGACACAGGAAGAATAATTGAGACGGACATTTTTACATACAAGCAGGCTCATACATACAAACATGCCTTACACACAACTGTGTTTTTACACAAAGACTGTATCACGCACATACGTTTTTACATACAGACGTTATATACACAATCACTTTTACACATAAACACTTTTACACAAACTCTTTTACACACAAACTCTTTTACACACAGACGTTTTTACACACAAACACTTTTACACACAGACGCTTTTACACACAGACCCTTTCGCACAAACACTTTTACACGCAAACACTTTTACACACAGACGCTTTTACACACAGACAGGGTTACACACAAACACGTTGGCAGAAAGACGTTGCAGTGGGCTGGCAGCTCACATGATTCTCACATGACTCTCACTAGGCCAATGCTACATCGTCATCATCACCACCAGCATCATTATCAGCCTCATCATCATCATCATCGTCATCCTCATCCTCATCATCATCCTCAACATCATCATCCCCATCCTCTTCCTCATCCTCATCATCGCCATCATCATCATCATCATCATCATCATCATCACTATCTTCGTCATCATCACCATCTTTGTCATGTTACTCACCTGCCAAATATGCCACATACGTCAAGGACGCGAGCCTGTCGTAAACATGCCAGACTTGATCCCTGCAGCCAAGAAGAAGGAAACACGGATAAACAAGCAAAAGCATGCCAAAGCCGCCGCCTGCAGGGAGGACACAGATAAACAGGCCACAACATGCCACATACGTCACCTCCAGCCAAGCCACAAGTCTAACTTAAAAGTATACAAACATGACACCTGCAGCCAGGCATATGCAAGAAAGCTCAACATGCCACATCTCTCAACTTCAGCCGGGACACGGCTCTGTCGCAAGCAGGCCACACAGTATCCATGTTGCACACACAGCTGCTTTTACACACCGCCGCTTTTACATACAGTCGCTTTTATACAGAATCACTTTTACACAGGCACACTTTTACACGCAAGCCGCAAGCCCCTTTACTCAAAGACGCTTTTACATACCAACACTTTTACAAAGAAACCCTTTCACACACTTGCTCGGAACATACAGAAATGTCTTTAGAAACCATTTCGCCCACAATCCCTTTTACGCGCCGATACTTTTACACACAGAAACTTTTGCACACAAACCCTTTTACACACAAACACGCTTACACGCAAACGCTTTTACGCACAGATTCTTTACCAGACCAACACTTTGACACAATCGCTTTTACGCACAACCAATTCTTAATACACAAACACTTTTACACACAGACGCTCTTACACAAACGTTTTTACACAGATACTCTTTTACACAAACACTTTTACACACAAACTCTTTTACACACAAACACTTTTACACACAGCCCTTTTACACACAAACTCTTTTACACACAAACACTTTTACACACAGCCCTTTTACACACAAACACTTTCACACACAGACGCTTTTACACACAGACCCTTTCGCACAAACACTTTTACACACAAACAAACACTTTTACAGACCGACGCTTTTACACACAGACGCTTTGACACAGACCCTTTTACACAAACACTTCTACACGCAGACGCTTTTACACAAACACTTTTACACACAAGCACTTTTACACGCAGACCCTTTACAACACAAACACTTTTACACACAACCGCTTTTACACACAATCATGTTTACACGCAAAAACGCTTTGACGCACAAACGCTTTTACACACAAGCGCTTTTACACGCAGACACTTTTACACACAGACCCTTTTACACACAAACACCAGCGCTACCGCCGGACCAACCAAAGTCGCAAAAAACTGTCAGTTTTTGACACTCGAACCTCATTTCGCGCGAAAGGGTTGCCGCGGAAGTTGTAAAGTCGCAAGAAAACCAGCCGTTTTCAACACTCGAACCTCGTTTCGTGCGAAAGGTTGCCGCCAGACCAACCAAACTCGCAAAAAAACATCAGCTTTTGACTCTCGAACTTCGTGCGAAAAGTTTGCTGCTGGAGACGTAAAATCGCAAAAAAAAATATCAGTTTTGGACACTCGAACCTCATTTCGTGCGGAAGGGTGGCCATATCATGGCGCCTCGTCGGCACTGCCTGTGGCCTTAAGAGAGAAAAGAAAAAGAAGGAGAGAGACCGTGACAGATGGCAAGAGACAGAGAGAGAAGATGTGAAGATGTGAAGATGCGAAGATGAGAAGCTGTGAAGGTGAGCCAGGTGAGAAGATGTGAAGATGTGAAGATGTGAAGGTGAGAAGATGTGAAGATGTGAAGATGTGAAGATGCGAAGACGTGAAGATGTGAAGATGTGAAGATGTGAAGATGTGAAGGTAAGGAGATGTGAAGGTAAGGAGATGTGAAGATGCGAAGGTAAGAAGATGTGAAGATGTGAAGGAGTGAAAATGAGAAGGTGTGAGTATGGGAACATGTGACGATGTGAAGATGTGAACATGTGAAGATATATAGCAGACCTCCACTTTTAGAAAAACCCTTCGCTCAGACTCTCGGGAAAAAACAAATTGTCATCGAGCATTGCCGCGCCTACGGCGCCTAAGGCCTGCGCAGGAAACGGCCTGTGAGTAGACCCTGACAGTCCAGAGTACTGAGAGCCAAAGACCGCAGGTTGAACGCAAAATGAACCTCCCAAGTCAAGTCAGAACGGCTAGACTCAGATTCAACGCTCTGAGAACTTCACTTTTTTACAAAGAATTGCAAGGTCTGTGGATCATCGGAGTCGGCAAACAAGCATCTTCTTCTGGTGCTGAGGTGAGGAGGGCAGAAATCCCAGCCCAGCCGTCGTTGGCTAGGTGAGAGTGGTTTCGTCACAGTCTGGCCAGGCTCTTCACTCCCGTCCTGAAGCTCCAGGAGCTGCAGCAGGGTGAGATACAGGTGGATCGAGAACTCCAGGAGCACTGGCAATCGGTTCTCCCTGGCCTGGCAATCGAGAGCTCCCTGGTTCTTGTTTGACTGTTCGAAGTCTGTGGTTGTAGCCTGGCTGGTTGTGGTTGTGGTTGTAGCCTGGCTGGTTGTGGTTGTGGTTGTGGCCTGGCTGGTTGTGGTTGTGGTTCTGGCCTGGCTGGTTGTGGCTTTGGGGCTGGGTGGTGGGGAGGAGTGCCCAAAAGCATTGCAGCCTCGCTCAAAAAGCATTGCGGGGTGGCCAGAAGAAAGTTGAGTGGAGGCCCTCCTCTGGAGCAGTGAGCTAAACCTCTCGAGAGCTGCCGCTGCCCCCTGCAATATAATCTTCACATATAAACTACTTTCAGGTGGCGGAATGCTTGCGGTGGCTGGCCCAGGTGATGAACTGCTCCAGCCAATGCTTGGGACACCCGCCCTTCGACCCTGAAGCCCCCTGATGCCCAGAGAAGGTTTGGAAGAGTTTTTGGCCCAAAGTCACTGTGGTCGGTGTTGTGTCCCATTGCATAATGGCATGCGCCAGCAATGGGAAGTCCTTCCCATACCCTTGCCCATGGCTGATGAAGAGGGGGGCGCGCTCAGTGGGTCCACCCAAAGTGAACCATCCCAGGTGGCAACGCCACCCGGCAGCACTTCATGGTGGAATTCAGCTTGGGGTTTTTGACTGGCTCTGTCCAGCACAACTCCTTTTTCTCAAACGCTGACCAGGCCTTTGCTGTCATCTTCAAGGCAAAAGCACCTTGGTGGGCTTACTTTCCTACCCAGGATAGAGAAGGAAGACATGTCGTCCGAGGTGAAGGCTCCACTGGCCAGTAGACAAAGTCAAGGTCTATGGCACTCATGTGGGAACTGCTGCTTCCATCACTTGCTTCGTGATCCTTCAGCTTCATGATGAGTTCGTCGGCTTCCTCTGATTTCCCCTCAGGGAGAAATTTGGCACTTGCCTACATCATCACAAAGAAGCCACCTTGGGTCATGTCCTCTGGGGTAACAATCCGGTGGCGTTCCTGCTTCACTCCGTCCAGGGACGCCCCATACTTTGCAGCTTCGGCCTGACTCTTCTCCTCCGTTGGGAGCCACGCCAGAAGGCCGTCGAAGTTGTCGGCCAAGACAAGCCCCGTCTTCCACCACCTCCTCTCACACTGCAGGTGGTGGCCCTTCTTCTCCCACAAACCATGCAAAAGAGTAGCCCCACAGCCCAGCCAAAGAGTTATGGGAGTGGCAGGCATACAGAAGCACCTTGGCAACCGGCTGCAGCACCTCCTGCCATGCCTTGGCAGAAAAAGATGCCAAAACATAGGAAAGCCATGTGGGCGCCAAAGACCTGAGCTTTGTGGTGCTTTTTTTTGCTAGGCCTTGTTTCAAAACGGCTTCAGACATCCAAAAATTTCCCCTTGATTTTCTATCTAAAAACTTGGGGTCCTTGGCTTAGCCCCTGACCTCTGGCACGGCATCTGCAAAGGCCAGCCATTGGATGCATCGTAATCTGGGGCTTGCAGGCTGTGCGAGCCTGGTTTCACCGGCTTCAAGCAGTGGAGGGAAGGCTACAAAATTGTGCATAGCTTCCACGCAAGCTTGCTGGTAGTTGCTTCCCAGCATTGAGATTGATAGACTTCCTGGATGAATTCAGACAGACAAGTTGGACCTGCCACCCATGCCCCTCCGAAGTTCTCGGGCCAATTGATGACCTGTCTCATTTGCGTACCCAACGACAATATAGTCTTTGGACTGGTCCACCCATCAGGGACTAGAGGTCGAGCAAAAGAGCCACTCGGTTTCAGATGTTCCTAGCCGCCTCAGGCGAACACAACTAGCAGATATGGCCTGCTGTGTACGGACCAGCGATCCCGAATTATAGCTTATGCACCAGTGACCGAGCGCTGGAGGGACTTCAGTTCCACCGGTAACCAACTTTGGCCTGGTGGGCATGCTGTAAATGTCCTGCATGGACTGATGCGAAAGTCACATGGGAAGGAGTTCCACACATGGCTTTCTATGTCACCATAGGCATTTTCTGTTCTCCTGTGCTTCGGGACGGCGGTGGCATCTTGCCAGAACACCTGACTGCCAGCACTCTGTTTGGCGGCCATAGTGATGACAATTGGCAGCTCTGGACATAAGGCTTGCAGTAGTATGCGAATCATTTCTTTCTCGGCTCTCTTCGCATCTGAATATGCCGGTATGCCAGTATGCCTTGCAGGCAACTTTCAATTCGCTCGTTCAACTCTTCATTGTCAACCTCAATCGATGGGGCTCCAATCATGCTATATGAAATTGTGAAACACAAAGTGCAAAAACATGCAAAAACACAAAGTCGAGAGACTTGAGTCATCAGTTGCACCACGCAGTGCAAAATACACACTGCGCAAAAACACAGTGGACCAGTGAGCTGTTCCAGTGCTGACCTACCAGAGTTACAGCTCTGAGAGCTCTTGGATGTTTCATATCTGTTTTTTTACCAATCCGGAGTAGCTTTCCGAAATGAGTGTCCGGACTAGCGCTTCCTGTGAAGAGTCCTTCCACAGTACCTCCAAACAGGTTTTCTGAAGTAGAATGTTTTTTCATAGCGATCACATTGGAAGGAATCTCTCAATCTATGCCATGCACCAAGCTAGGCTGTCACAATCAGATGCACGGCAATTCAGCAGCCCGCCCCCCGCTTCGCGGATGTCAGGCTTCACTGCGTCATCCAAGTCCACTGTGGTTCCATAACAACTTCAAGGATGCTGGGACACCGCGGTTCAAGTCGGAAAGGCAGATGACATTACTGCCAAGACTAGACTAAACTGATGATCGGTGCAACTACATGGAATTGTCGGGAAGCTTTCCAAGCTCCATCTGCAAGTAGTCTTCAACAGTTGAAGTAAAGAATTGACCTCAGGTCCAGTAGGGGTTCGTTAGTAGTTTTATTATGTTTTATTTGTTTCTTTACTCAGCTGCTCAGCTGCTTGGTAATTTGCCATGGATCTCACTGGTGTCACTGGCTGGCGAGTGAATCGGCGCTCGCAAATCACGTCCGGGGTTACCCGTGAGTTGGTTCCCGTCTTGTTTTTGTAAGCACTGCGGATCTAAGCTTGTGGAAGGTATCAACCAACTCACACCGACCCACATCCGAGGACGCTAAAAATTACTATTGGTGAGAGCAAATGCCTTCGTCTTCTCTTGCAAATCAATGGCAAAAACTGTCTGCCTGTGCTCACTTTGCATGAACCCGAAACAGAGACAAAAAGAGTTCCGTGTTGTTCGATATCTTTTGACATGGTGAGACGCAGGAGCTCTTCATTTGTGCTCTGATCCTGCTTTGGCCGCTTCAGCTGCCTTCCCTTGTTTGTTGTCAAGGAGTGGGACTTTCGAAAACTGGACTCAAGCAGAGAACTCAACAGCACCTGAAGTACAAGGATTGCTACTGGCATTGAGCAAAAACAATGGAATACCGCATGCCTTTGTGGACAAGTGAACGCAGCGCGGCAGGGTATGGAGAAGAATTATTTTCATCAGTGGCCGTCAATCGACGCGCGCACAAATGGAATGTATGAAATACAGAAAGTGAAGTGCTCAACTGCTCAACTTGTTGTCTTGTGTTTTTTTCTGCGCAGAGCTGTGTCTTGTTTGTTTTGGTCTGCTCACATTGTGACGATACCCAGAAGGCTCAACTCAGGACCTCAGCGCAAAAGAAGCGTTGCAATTCGCACTGCATCCAGCAAACAACGAAGATAAGAATCAAAGCACGTCTCAGAGTTGGCTTATGTATCTTTGCATAGTGGTGTTGAACAAGTTTGAACCAAGCCGGAAGCAACAGCTCTTCAGCTTGTATTAGTTGTCATCAGGCCCTTTACCATGCTTCGGGCTGCTCTTGATTTCTGAGTTCTGTCCGAAGAGAACTACATGTTGCGGGGCTTGCTACCACTGTTATCGAACACCTCCTGCCTTGTCGCCCTTGTCTTATCCTGAGCAGAGTTGGTTTTGGATGCGCAAATGTACAGCAACAAACGGAACCCATCCAAGGCTGCACCACCGCACCTGAATCTTTGCGAAGTTACTCTCGAGAAGATGCTTCATCATCAACAGAAATTCCGGAAAGTCTGCATCCTGCCGCAGCTCATGCAGGCTGTCCTTCCTATGCTCTACCTTTTAACTGGGCATGGGCTCACAATACCATGCTTTCGAAACCTAGCAAACCTTGTGCTGAGTCTAGTGGCAGTGCAGATTCCCACACACGTCAATCTAGTTGAGGAATGCAACTGCAGCTCCGGGGAACTTGCGCGCTAAAAAGGACCAGAGTTTGAGCAAGCAAATGCTAGGATTTTTCTTTCATTTCAGTCCTCCGCACGCTGCTTGCTGCGCACAGCTCCCGGCATCTTCTGTGTGAACTGCAGGGAACGTAACACCATGCATAATGTATCTAGGACAAGCAGTATCATAAATCATAGCTGGCTGGTACAAAGCGCTCTCAAATCAGGAATTCAAACTGCTTCTGCAAAGCAAGGCACCACACACAACCACTTCAACTCAAATTGAAGCTCCACGACTCCACAACTCAACCGCCTCATGGAAGATCTCTTTCAATCGCACAGTCAAAGAGTCTCCCAACGGTGTGATGTCATTGATCATCTTCCAGAACTGAACGGCACCGCAAAGAGTTGAAACGGCTCGGCTGACAGTGATTCTACACCCCTTCATCGCTAGTTTTCAGTTTGGGGAACCGTGGCCAGTTGATTTTTCAAAGGAACCTTTTTCTTGCAACACCGGTATACCCACAATAGACCAAACATGTTTTTGGTGGATAGCTCCTGTATCTTCTGAGAAGGTGCAAAGTGAGAATGGCTCATATTTGGCTCAGATTGGCTCATAAGTCTCAGCTCCAAAGTCACCACTCCTGGTCGAAGGACAGCTCCACAGGAGCACTCCCGTGGTGGGAAGGATTCGCTGCCAGGAAGAAATCGCGGAACCTCACAGCTGCGTCCCCTTCAGGCCGCTTCCATTTTTCCACGCAGAAAGACTGGTCCAAAAATGTCAAGTCTGCACGTCTGACTCTGCCATCCCCACAAGCAAGTACAACTGATTGAAACTGCCAAAGTTCCACATTGCCCAACAGTTTTCCATTGATGGCACTAGAACTGTTCTACTCACTACAGACTCTGCGACTCTGCGACACCTTTGATGAAATGCGGCCACACTGAGGCTCCACGCTGCGCAACCTCGGATGAATTGAAACCAGTGGCCTCAATGGCTTCAGTCTCTTTCTTGGCGCGTTCCCGGTCCTGCCACGTTTTGACCCACGAATCGACCAAGGCAAAAATGAAGAGATGGTGATGTACTCAGTGACAGGTTAAATGGGGTTGCTTCTTCCACAGAAGTTTTGCCCTAGCTGCATGTCCGTAAATGCTCGACTCCGGCTGTCCTGAAATTCTCGAAAGAGCTGCATGGGTCTCAAAAAGTCTTTGAAACCAAGGCCCTGAAAGGACCATGTCTCTTGCAGAACCTCAGAGTCTGCATGCAAATTCCGAAGCAAGGACAGTGGCCAAATGCAAAGGTCTGATGTGGGTTTGCTGGGCGGACACCGTGTAGGTCAAATAGTGTTTCAAAAGGGGTGCGAACAAATCATCAACTAACTAGTCTTGTTCTGTTTGTTTGAGACATCTAACAAAACATTGAATTTGTTGCCAAAAAAACAAGCACGAGTCAAGGATCGAAATCTGCAATGCAAACACCTGTGTGCACATACCCTCATGTATGTGTATACATTACATAGATCCATATCTATATCGATATCGATTTCTACATCTATCTCTATTTATTTCCAATTTTAAACCTAAATCTACATATACACATATATATGTTATATTATATATATATGGTTGATCACAGTGATGCTTCATCTGCCCTAGAGATTTGGGTGAACTTGGCCGCATCTAAGGCCTCTGCCTCCTTCATGATCCTTTGCAGTTCTGGCCTCATCTTCCTTCCACTTTGACACTTAAAACATGGGGAGACAAACAAAAATTTCCACACAAATGAGTTTGGATCAAGAAGGGGGCACCCATGGACCCACACAATTGGTCAATTTCGTAGTCTTAGTACATCTTTGTATCAAAGGAATCGAAACTGCGTAATTAGAAACCACCAAGAGCACCGTCATTTGAGCCGTGCGAGTTGTTAACCGAAGGGTGATAGCGGGCGAGCCTGTCCCGCGCAAGAATTGGGAAGAGGTCTGTGACCATGCGCACCAACCTCAGCTTTTGCACTGATGGAAAGGACAGCCAACAAGTTGTTGTAAGATCTTTGTTACATGTTAGTTAAATGTTGCTTAAGTTCCGCGCTCTTTGCTTGCAATGAGGCCGCTGTGTTTGACATCGTAGCGATTGAAGACACTCTGCAAATTGTTCACCTGACACAACACGGAACTCAACGCTTTTTCTCCTGGAAAATGTTCATGGTGTCTTTGGATAGTTAGAGGTCGCAAAAGCGGTACTTGGTGGGTTCCCGAAACTGTTCTCCCCGGGCCAGAAGCAATTCAAACCGTGACTCTTGAAAGGTGCATCTGTGCCACCGCCTCACCCTCTGTCCAACCACCGTTGGACTTGTAGACCTGCACACTTAGGCTGGCTCAGATCCAAAGAAAAAGAGGTGACCATGGATCTAGCCTTCAGGTTGTTCAATCTATGCTTGTCACCTCATAGTTTGTAAGTAATAATGAAAACATGTTCAAAAGCGCTCTGGTCTGCTTATCGCAAGTGCATCATTGCATTTTTCCATCCACTCAGCCGTGTCCGCACCACAGCTCAGTTTTTGACGATCGAACCTCATTTCGTGCGTAACTGTCGCATTTTCATGATTGCTCGTGGCCACCGCCCCGCCTTAAGAGAGAATATAAATTAGCAGAAGAGAGACACGAGAGAGAGAGAGAGAGAGAGAGAGAGTGCAAGATCAGCAGACATAGGATCCGAAGATGTAGAAAATGTTTTGTCTCAGCTCCTTTTTTAGAAGAACCCTACGCTCAGGCGCTCTCGGGAAAAGGAAGGAGCAACTTGCAGCAGCCGCCTAATCTAGCTGGTGCTCTGGACAGACTGTGTCTCCTTGCTTGGGTATTCACAAATGCCCTGGCTGTTCTTCGAACAAACAAACACATAACAATCCGTGCCTCTCTCAGGTCCCGAGAATGGTATGAGCATACACCTGGCAAAAGCCGTCATTACGAACAAGATTGGCTCTGTTCTTGACAAAGTCTTTCCAAGAACTTTTTGGCTACTGTCAAGGTTTGAATGGCTTCCAAGTTCAAAAGCAAAATTTCCGTGTTGCAAACTTAAAGCACTCCAGCCCGTTCAGTGCTCTTTTCTTCTGGAGCACTTCGTTGCTTTGCTGCACTTCGTTGCTCTGCTTAGTGGAATCAAATGATGCCAAAGTTAGCCGCGTACGTAATGTATGCAATGCAATTTAATGGGATGCAATATATGATAAGATAGATATATGCATGTTCATCTTTCCAGGCGCTACAGAACATTACAAACAATGTTGTGAGCAGAAGGTGCCATCAATGATCGCGTCCACATTTGAGTTTGTTTCTTTGAAATAATCTATCAGGCCACAATCACACTAATCCCAACACGACCTTGGGGGCAAGAAAACTTCAAGGAAACGATGCCATGCGTAACCAAATGCCCGAATGGACCGGCGGCAGATGGGAGTCAAATGCCGGAGCCAGTTTGATTGATTCTTTCCATATCCGTCTAGGGATTATGCTTTGTGGCCAGCAACGAAGAGTGTTCAACCACAGAATTTCAGCTCTATTCTATAGTCTATAGTACATGCATGGTGCTTTGAGACAGACATCATCAGACCGGGGACTTCTGCATCTAGCTGCTCGGCAGAGGAAACATGCCATGTCAAGACGCACAAAAGCCATCTGATCCAGGAAGGGCTCATCCTAGGCGATTCAGCACTCTCTGATTGCAGACATCTCTCTTACCATCTCTCCAACAGTACGTCGGCAAAACGAACTAAATATATGATCAATATATGTATCCGCCGACCCCGGCAGACGCAAGGGGGAGTGCGTAAGGGAAAAAGAGTTTATGACACAGCTGCCAGGAAAGAATAATAATAATTCGCTGACCCCGGCCGATGCAAGGGGGAGCGCGTAAGGGAAGAAGAGGTGCTGCACTGCTACTTTTACTACCAGGCAGCAGCAGGCAGCAGCAGGCAGCAGGCAGCAGGCAGCAGCCAGCAGCAGCCAGCAGCAGCCCGCACCAGCCAGCAGCAGCCAGCAGCAGGCAGCAGTAGGTGTTTGGCAGGCAGCATCCGGCAGCAGCAACCAGCAGCAGCTGGCGTTAGGCAGCCAGCAGCAGCCAGCAGCAGCTAGCAGCAGCCAGCAACAGCCAGCAGCAGGCAGGAGCAGGCAGCAGCCAGCAGCAGGCAGGACCAGCAGGTAGCAGCAGGCAGCCAGCAGCAGGCAGCAGTAGGTGTCTGGCAGGCAGCATCCGGCAGCAGCAACCAGCAGCAGCCGGCGTTAGGCAGCCAGCAGCAGCCAGCAGCAGCCAGCAGCAGCCAGCAGCAGCCAGCAACAGCCAGCAGCAGGCAGGAGCAGGCAGCAGCCAGCAGCAGGCAGGAGCAGCAGGCAGCAGCAGGCAGCAGGCAGCAGGATTCTATTTTAATTTTATTTTATGGCAGCAACAGCAAGAGCAACAGCAACAGCAACAACAACAACAACAACAACAACAACCAACAACAAACAACAAACAACAACCAACAACCAACAACCAACAAACAACAACCAACAACAACAACAACAACAACAACAACAACAACAACAACAACAACAACAACAACAACAACAACAACAACATTCTTGCAGCCATGGAACCAATAACACAAAGCTGCAGCAGCAGCAGCAGCAGCAGCAGTTGTTTCTTGCTTTGGAAGCTGTTTGATTGCAGCAGCACGACAGCAGCACCACAGCAGCAGCAGCCACCAGCAGCAGCACCAGCAGCAGGCACTAATGGGTGTCAAGAACGTGGGCAAGAGCACGCAAAAGGTGCACATAGCCAGTAGCTAGCAGCCAGCGCCAGTAGCAGCCACAGCAGCCTACCAAAAATCTAGATTTTTCTAGGATTTCAGACGACACGTTAGGCACTTTTTTGGCGTGGTTCTGGCACTCGCTCGTCCTTCAGAGCCCTGGTGTTTTCCCCCCGGGAGGTGATTTTTTCAAAAAATTGTGTTTTTCTAGGATGTCAGACGACACGTTAGGCACTTCTATATATCTTGTATATATGTCTATAGGGTTTCAGACGTCACGTTTGGCAATTTTCTCATTTATATGGCACCAATGGGTGTCAAGAACATGGGCAAGAGCACGCAAAAAGGCAGCAGCAGCAGCAGCAGCAGAAGTAGCAGCAGCAGCAGCAGCAGCCGTTGTTTCTTGCTTTGGAAGCTCTTTGATTGCAGCAGCACGACAGCAGCACCACAGCAGCAGCAGCCACCAGCAGCAGCACCAGCAGCAGGCAGCAGGCCGCCGCAGGCAGCAGCAGGCAGCAGCAAGCAGCAGCAAGCATCAGTAGGCAGCAGCAGACACAAGCAGACGCAGCAGCAGTAAGCGCAACGGCAGCAGTGCAGCAGCTAGCAGCACGAAAAATTGTGTTTTTCTAGGATGGCACCAATGGGTGTCAAGAACGTGGGCAAGAGCACGCAAAAGGTGCACATAGCCAGTAGCTAGCAGCCAGCGCCAGTAGCAGCCAGCAGCCAGTAGCCAGCAGCCTACCAAAAATCTAGCTTTTTCTAGGATTTCAGACGACACGTTAGGCACTTTTTTGGCGTGGTTCTGGCACTCGCTCGTCCTTCAGAGCCCTGGTGCTTTCCCCCCCGGGAGGTGATTTTTTCGAACCTGTTTTACTGCTAGCAGCCGCCAGCAACAGAATCTATCGAAAAATTGTGTTTTTCTAGGGTGTCAGACGACACGTTAGGCACTTCTATATATATTGTATATATTTCTATAGGGTTTCAAACGTGACGTTTGGCAGTTTTCTCGTTTATATAGCACCAATGGGTGTCAAGAACGTGGGCAAGAGCACGCAAAAGGTGCACATAGCCAGTAGCTAGCAGCCAGCGCCAGTAGCAGCCAACAGCCAGTAGCCAGCAGCCTACCCAAAATCTAGCTTTTTCACACGTTAGGCACTTTTTTGGCGTGGTTCTGGCACTCGCTCGTCCTTCAGAGCCCTGGTGTTTTCCCCCCGGGAGGTGATTTTTTCGAAACTGTTTTACTGCTAGCAGCCTCCAGCAGCAGAATCTGTCGAAAAATTGTGTTTTTCTAGGATGTCAGACGACACGTTAGGCACTTCTATATATCTTTCTTGTATATATTTCTATATGGTTTCAGACGTCACGTTTGGCAATTTTCTCATTTATATGGCACCAATGGGTGTCAAGAACATCGGCAAGAGCACGCAAAAGGGCAGCAGCAGCAGCAGCAGCAGCAGCAGCAGCAGTTGTTTCTTGCTTTGGAAGCTCTTTGATTGCAGCAGCACGACAGCAGCACCACAGCAGCAGCAGCTACCAGCAGCAGCACCAGCAGCAGGCAGCAGGCCGCCGCAGGCAGCAGCAGGCATCAGTAGGCAGCAGCAGACACAAGCAGACGCAGCAGCAGTAAGCGCAACGGCAGCAGCAAGATTCTATTTTAATTTTATTTTATAGCAGCAACAGCAACAGCAACAGCAACAACAACAACAACGACAACGACAACAACAACAACAACAACAACAACATTCTTGCAGCCATGGAACCAATAACACAAAGCTGCAGCAGCAGCAGCAGCAGCAGTTGTTTCTGGCTTTGGAAGCTGTTTGATTGCAGCAGCACGACAGCAGCACCACAGCAGCACCACAGCAGCAGCAGCCACCAGCAGCAGCACCAGCAGCAGGCAGCAGGTGTTTCGAAAAGGGTGTCTGGCTGTTTGTTTCTTGCTTTGGAGGCTGTTTGATTGCAGCAGCACCACAGCAGCAGCAGCAGCCACCAGCAGCAGCACCAGCAGCAGGCAGCAGCAGGGAGCAGCAGGCAGGCAGCCGCAGGCAGCCGCAGGCAGTTGCAGGCAGCAGCAGGCAGCAGCAGGCAGCAGCAGACACCAGCAGAGGCAGCAGCAGGCAGCGGCACAGCAGACACCAGCAGAGGCACAAGCAGGCAGCAGCAAGCAGCAGCAGGCAGCGGCAGGCAGCGGCAAAGTTGCAATTTTATAGTAGGGTTTCAGAAGTGACGTTAGGCCCTTTTTTGGGGTTCCTTTGCTACGTTTTGGGCACGAAATTAGGTGGTGTTTTGCTGTTTCGGATGTGTTTCGAAAAGGGTGTCTGGATGTTTGTTTCTTGCTTTGGAGGCTGTTTGATTGCAGCAGCACCACAGCAGCAGCAGCAGCCACCAGCAGCAGCACCAGCAGCAGGCAGCAGCAAGGAGCAGCAGGCAGGCAGCAGCAGGCAGCAGCAGGTAGCAGCAGGCAGCAGCAGGCAGCAGCAGGCAGCAGCAGGCAGCAGCAGGCAGCAGCAGGCAGCAGCAGGCAGGCAGCCGCAGGCAGCCGCAGGCAGCTGCAGGCAGCAGCAGGTAGCAGCAGGCAGCAGCAGACACCAGCAGAGGCAGCAGCAGGCAGCGGCACAGCAGACACCAGCAGACACCAGCAGAGGCAGCAGCAGGCAGCAGCAGGCAGCAGCAAGCAGCAGCAGGCAGCGGCAGGCAGCGGCAAAGTTGCAATTTTATAGTGGGTTTCAGAAGTGACGTTAGGCCCTTTTTTGGGGTTCCTTTGCTACGTTTTGGGCACGAAATTAGGTGGTGTTTGCTGTTTCGGATGTGTTTCGAAAAGGGTGTCTGGCTGTTTGTTTCTTGCTTTGGAGGCTGTTTGATTGCAGCAGCACCACAGCAGCAGCAGCAGCCACCAGCAGCAGCACCAGCAGCAGGCAGCAGCAAGGAGCAGCAGGCAGGCAGCAGCAGGCAGCAGCAGCAGGCAGCAGCAGGCAGCAGCAGGCAGCAGCAGGCAGCAGCAGGCAGCAGCAGGCAGCAGCAGGCAGCAGCAGGCAGCAGCAGACACCAGCAGAGGCAGCAGCAGGCAGCAGCAAGCAGCAGCAGGCAGCAGCAGGCAGCGGCAGGCAGCGGCAAAGTTACAATTTTATATAGTAGGGTTTCAGAAGTGACGTTAGGCCCTTTTTTGGGGTTCCTTTGCTACGTTTTGGGCACGAAATTAGATGGTGTTTTGCTGTTTCGGATGTGTTTCGAAAAGGGTGTCTGGCTGTTTGTTTCTTGCTTTGGAGGCTGTTTGATTGCAGCAGCACCACAGCAGCAGCAGCACCAGCAGCAGCACCAGCAGCAGGCAGCAGCAAGGAGCAGCAGGCAGGCAGCAGCAGGCAGCAGCAGACACCAGCAGAGGCAGCAGCAGGCAGCAGCAGGCAGCGGCAAAGTTGCAATTTTAAGTAGGGTTTCAGAAGTGACGCCCTTTTTTGGGGTTCCTTTGCTACGTTTTGAGGGCTGTTTGATTGCAGCAGCACCACAGCAGCACCACAGCAGCAGCAGCAGCAGCAGCAGCAGCAGCAGCAGCACCAGCAGCAGGCAGCAGCAGCACCAGCAGCAGGCAGCAGCAGGGAGCAGCAGGCAGGCAGCCGCAGGCAGCCGCAGGCAGCTGCAGGCAGCAGCAGGCAGCAGCAGGCAGCAGCAGACACCAGCAGAGGCAGCAGCAGGCAGCAGCAGACACCAGCAGACACCAGCAGAGGCAGCAGCAGGCAGCAGCAAGCAGCAGCAGGCAGCGGCAGGCAGCGGCAGGCAGCGGCAAAGTTGCAATTTTATAGTAGGGTTTCAGAAGTGACGTTAGGCCCTTTTTTGGGGTTCCTTTGCTACGTTTTGGGCACGACATTAGGTGGTGTTTTGCTGTTTCGGATATGTTTCGAAAAGGGTGTCTGGCTGTTTGTTTCTTGCTTTGGAGGCTGTTTGATTGCAGCAGCACCACAGCAGCAGCAGCAGCAGCAGCACCAGCAGCAGCACCAGCAGCAGGCAGCAGCAAGGAGCAGCAGGCAGGCAGCAGCAGGCAGCAGCAGGTAGCAGCAGGCAGCACCAGGCAGCAGCAGGCAGCAGCAGGCAGCAGCAGACACCAGCAGCAGTAGCAGGCAGCGGCAGGCAGCGGCAAAGTTGCAATTTTAAGTAGGGTTTCAGAAGTGACGTTAGGCCCTTTTTTGGGGTTCCTTTGCTACGTTTTGGGTACGAAATTAGGTGGTGTTTTGCTGTTTCGGATGTGTTTCGAAAAGGGTGTCTGGCTGTTTGTTTCTTGCTTTGGAGGCTGTTTGATTGCAGCAGCACCACAGCAGCACCACAGCAGCACCACAGTAGCAGCAGCAGCAGCCACCAGCAGCAGCACCAGCAGCAGGCAGCAGCAGGGAGCAGCAGGCAAGCAGCTGCAGGCAGCCGCAGGCAGCCGCAGGCAGCTGCAGGCAGCAGCAGGCAGCAGCAGGCAGCAGCAGGCAGCAGGCAGCAGCAGCAGCAGGCAGCAGCAGACACCAGCAGAGGCAGCAGCAGGCAGCAGCAAGCAGCAGCAGGCAGCGGCAGGCAGCGGCAAAGTTGCAATTTTATAGTAGGGTTTCAGAAGTGACGTTAGGCCCTTTTTTGGGGTTCCTTTGCTACGTTTTGGGCACGAAATTAGGTGGTGTTTTGCTGTTTCGGATGTGTTTCGAAAAGGGTGTCTGGCTGTTTGTTTCTTGCTTTGGAGGCTGTTTGATTGCAGCAGCACCACAGCAGCAGCAGCAGCCACCAGCAGCAGCACCAGCAGCAGGCAGCAGCAGGGAGCAGCAGGCAGGCAGCAGCAGGCAGCAGCAGGTAGCAGCAGGCAGCAGCAGGCAGCAGCAGACACCAGCAGAGGCAATAACGCGGCATACTGACCATTTTGAAAACAGTAGAGTCGGAAAATTGGCACTAGCAAACTGTCGGGTGGACCAATCCTGTAACTGTCTCGTGGTACATTCAAGTCAGTTGTACTTGCATCATGAACATATACATCAGCATTCACACTCTTGTAGCTGGTGCCCAGAAGAAAAAATATTGCGGCCGCAAGGTGGCTTTGCAAGTCGAAAGTCTGTGCTTCTGCCTCGTCCGGCTTTGGCTCCAATTTTAGATGTCTTTGGCATGATCTGCATAGTTGATGTCGTGCTTTCTGCGATGCCATCACAGAAGGTCCCATAGAAAGGTATCCATGAAAAAGCAAATTCAATAGCAATGCTTCAAGCCAGGGGATATCAAAACTAGAACCGCAAAGGCGCCATGCCAGCTTGGCAAATACTGCTTCTGCTCTTCGATCTACGTCTTTTTCTGTTCTGTCTATGTTGGCGCTTGTCCTCGTGCTGTCCGTCTCTACGGTTGGTTCAGTTTCACGCACAGTGGTTTGGCGCAACAGACTATCAAAATGATATCCCCTGCCTTGCACAGAGGTGTGATTGTATATATGCAGCTGTAAGGCATGATGCTCGGGGTGCTCGAACCCAAGATGGACAAGAATCTTGTTCCGATCTGGGTCTGCCGTGCACTCACCAAATCGGTCGTGCACACGAATTATCATGTTAGCGCGCGCAACAGCCCGAAATCGTTGCAACAGAAATGTCACAATGTGCGGGCCATCGCGGTGCGCATCTAAATATGGAAAGAATCCCTTCGCGCTTGGAAGTACTGCTTGCCCAACCGCTTGAACCAAATGCTTTCTGCATGCAACTGCACTGCGTCGTCTTGCTGCAACATCTGCGCCCAAGTTGCTTGGCAAAAGACCTTCATACGCTAAGCACAGCATCAAGGAATCGATTAGGCAATTGTTGACGCCGTGTGACAGCGCCTGCTGCCACCTGAACCCTTCAGCTGCCAAAGCCTTTAAAGCTTGGGTATCAGTCATGCTTCGGCCAGGAGCATTTACCTGCGCGATGTCACACAGACGGTCCGCAACTGCAACGCAGTGAGCCTCTGTCGTGCTTGTTTGCAATTCTTTCCAGCCATCCCAAGTGGGCACCCAACTCTGCCCAAGTACTTTTGCTGCGTCCTCTGCTGTTCCAAGTCTAGATAACAAGATTGCTGCGCTTCAAGGTGCGATACATTTCATTGCGTTACATTGCAATGCATTGCATTGCATTACATTGCATTGCATAACATTACATTGCCTTACATTGCGTTGCATTACACTTCATTGCATTGCTTTGCATTACCTTTCGTTGCTCTTCATTGCAATGCAGGGCATTGCATTGCATTACATTGCATGGCATTACATTGCATGGCATTACATTGCATTACATGGCATTGCATTACATTTCACTGCATTGCATTGCATTGCATTACATTTCATTGCTTTTCATTGCAATGCATTGCATTGCATTACATTGCTTGGCATTACATTGCATTACATTGCATTCAATTGCATTACATTGCATTCCATTACATTGCATTGCAGTACATTGCATTGCATTACATTGCATTGCATTGCATTGCATTACATTGCCTTACATTGCATTGCATTGCAGTACATTGCATGGCATTACATTGCATTGCATTGCATTTCATTGCATTGCATTACATTGCATTGCAGTGCAGTACATTGCATTGCACTACATTACATTGCATTGCATTGCATTACATTGCATTCCATTACATTGCATTGCATTGCAGTACATTGCATTGCATTACCTTGCATTGCATTGCCCTTGCATTGCATTGCAGTGCATTGCATTGCATTGAATTGCAGGCTTTCATTTATAGTTTCTTTAGGTCAATTTATGATTTCTTTAGGGTTCATTTTGTGTTTCATGTAGGGGTTTCTGGCAGCAATTCATTCGGGTTTCTTTCGGTTTCACAGTTTCACCTACGGTGTTTAAACTTTCATTTAAGATACAAACAGGAAAGAATAAAACAAAAAAAGTAGGATTTCAATTTCATGTAGGAATTCTCTTGATATTTACATCTCTTAAGGGTTTTATTTCGAGTTTCTTTTGCGTTTCTGTCGGGTTTCATGTAGGGTTTCATTTAGGGATTCTTTCCGATTTCCTTTCGCGTTTAATTTCGAGTGTTATGTGAATTTCTTATCAGAAAATCTTGTCAAGGTTTTCAAACATTCATGTGGGTTTCTTGAGAGTTTCTTTAGAGTTTCATTTCAGATTTCGTTCATGAGGGGTCAAAAAAACACGGGGGAAGTCAAACAAACAAGGTGGGGGATCAAAAAAAACAACGCCCTCGTATACTTTCATAAAATATCATGCACCTGTGCGGCGCAACCATGCACCTGTGCGGCGCAACATTAGCTGTATAATAATAGGGCCAAAAATATTGTGTATATATATATATATAACTATTATACTGTTACTTAGATCCATGAACCCATAAAACCATAAGATCAGAGTATTAACATGCACTCAAATGAAAAACCCATTTACACATGAAAATTCAAACCTATCAAATATATTTCACAAGGATGTACATAGCAAAAAGGTCGAGAACCTCAAGGTGCAACGCACCGAAGCGTTTTTCTGCCAGCTTTGCTTCCTTGCCACTTCTTCCGGGGTCGGCGGCAGGGGCGGCAGCCCTTAAATATACCAATGTTTCACTTGCCACAGCTTGAAAAATGTGTAGTACAACCTATGTTACATAGTATTTAATGTGACTGACCTATGTGACTTTCGGTGGTCTGAATGGATGTGGCAACCAAGAACCTGTCAGCACAAATGATTTGAAGTATGTATGGTTTGATCCTAGTCAAGTAGCTGAAACTACAGTACTTTTACTTCTTTGAGTCAAAGTAATTTTGTGGGAGCAGTGTCAACAATAATCTCAAGAGGCCAAGAGGGCTGCAAAAAGCCACTAAAGCTTGTTGTGCAAGATGGATAAAATATACAAGCCAAGAGCAGCATGGCACCAGGCATCCCTGCTTCACGGTTCGACTTTGCGCACACCGCAGCTGCCAAGGCCAGATACTGCCAAGCTTCCAAGATGCGCCAACAAACCAAGACACACTTGCTGCCCAAGCTTTCCATAAAAAATAACGGTTTGAAAAGGTGCAAAGCGAACATCAAGCTGTTGGGCCTTCATCTCGCCGCTACGAGAAAGACAAACAACAAGAACATTCATGCTAGTAGGGGAGAACCCAGCGCCTGTTTGTTTACCCGGAAGCTCAAATCTCGGATAGCCTTGCAGCAATGGCGTGTCGACAGTGGCACCCCAAGCCACAAAGTCTTTTGACACCTGCTACACTGGCTATATCTGCGCATTCCTTTCAGTCTTTTGGAACAGGTAACCATAGCTGCCATAGCTAAACGAGAGTTCCAGCCTGCGCTGCTTCCTGCTCTTTCAGGCCCTGGACATGAGAGGTGTCTCGAGGCGCTTCTACAACTCCAGCAATGAACCAGCGTTTCACACTGCTCACCTTGGCGCCTTCTGGAAGGGCAGCCTGAAACGCCTGCAAGAAACGGTCCCCAAGTTCCCTCTCCTCAATCTGTGCAGACCAGGCTTCAACTGGTATCTACATAAAGACTTGTTGCGTCAGCCGCTCAACTGCCAATGGAATCCAAAAAAAAACAAATACAGAAATTGAGGACTGTTGCTCCTCTCCTCGCACTTGATTTGATAAACGAACATGCACCTTGCTTTCATAAAGCAGTTGGAGCAAGATCCCAGCTGTTGCTATGCTATTTATCCCTCTAGTTTGAGAATCACAGCAACATCCAGTAGTTTGAGTCCTTCGAAAAGTCAACAAAGCCAGGAAAAGGAACAAATCCCAAGCGCAGACCCAGACGTTTATCCAAAGTATACCCACGGTAAACCACTAACTCACTAGGTCGCAGCTGTGCTTGTCCGGCCCCACGAGCATTGAACAATGACCTGCCTTTTTGTAGTTCAGCGTCTCGCGTTCCTGGCACGGGAAAGCATCGATGGAGACTGGAAAGCAGCAGAATTGCGAGCCGTGCGAACCGTGCCTGAAGCATACCTTGGTACCCGAACTCTGTAGCTGTTCTGTAGCTGTGCTGAATGTGCTGAAATGAATGAAATTTGAAACTGCAATGCTGGTTTCCGGTATGCCACAGATTAGACAGAGAAAATCTCTGGATTCACACTCGGACATAGCAAATGTCATCGTCGCAAAAGATCATCTTGCGGAAAAGCAACGCACCATCTTGCGGAACTCCCGCCTTGGCACTTCACTGATGTGCTTGAAAGATCGACAGAATCAGTCGAGTGAGGTGTCAAAATATACTAATTGCGCAACCATGTAGGAATCGAATGCACACCTTGCTTGTTTCTTGCTTGAATTCTGAGCCTTTGATGACTTTTGGTAGCGCACATCATGGGTGAAGGAAAGGCGAACTCTTAATATGTTACATAGGTTTTGTGTTCTAGAAGGGCCATCCCAGGTGGCATAAGGTACAAAGTTTTCCAGTCAGTATATAGATTAAATCAGAGCCACACAGCATTTGGATGCCTTGACACTATTCATCTGAAGTTGAGAGTAGCTTGTCGATTCACGTAGCAACAAGCTGGGCCGATCCAGGCACATTTGAAACTATTAAAAAGCAGAAAATCCACTATTGGCACTAAAGTGTCAAGAGTCTTGACGGTATCCACGTGATTCTCTGCCACTTTCCCTGTTTAAAATTTTGGATTGGGACAAGTGTTGGCTGCCACCTGTCAAGAATGCAATGCATTTCTTTTCACCTGGTGCCAAGCTGGCTTTTGCTTACACCATAATCAGACGGGTTGAGCTTCATGAGCCACCGACACTCACTGTGTATGGGGAGTCAAGCTGACTCATGGCGCTGTGATTCGTGAGCGCTTTCTGGCGCTTCGATTCCCAGGTGCTTCGATTCTCAGCTCGCAGAACACTGGGACTGCAGGGAGTAACTGGCGTAATTGCCCATGAAATATAGCACATCATGAAGGCTCTGGAGAGCAGAGCAATCAATTCAACATTCTATAGCCAGAAAATAAGTTGTAAATATCCATGGAACATCATGGAACTATATCTTTCCGTCATCTTTCCAATTCACCCTGTCAGTGTGTGGTAGATCTACTGTCCTCATGAGGGAGGAATAATCAAAAGCCTAACTGGGTTCATTGACCGCTTCGGAAAAGTTGCCTTCGACCTCTACACAATGCCCCAAGAGCCACTCAGAAGGCTGTTGCATCACACCCTGGCATTAGAAATCAAGATAAGAAAACCTGGGCTGCTCGGACTAAGTAGGAACTACTAGAAACTACCTTGCAAATTCTAAGGATTTCTATCAGGGCGCAACATCGCAGTGAACTAAACACGTAGAATCGCCAGCTGCTCAAAATTAGCTCGCGTTGTTTCAAGCGTAGCAGCTGAAATCTTCGATGCAAAATTCTCTTGCCGCTTGTGAGCACTCTACCAATCCCTTGCAAGATTGAGGACACACTGGACTCTTTGTTCGGTGCTGTCTGGACATTTACAGCCGCACAGCAAAATTTGGCCGTTGTTCGCTTGCAGTGTTGCAAGCTGCAAAACAAAACAGGTGCACCTCCAGGTCGCAAGAAGGTGATTATTTCATCTTCTTTACCCAAACGCATTCTTAGAAATTTCTTAGAGTCGTTGTCCGTATTGGACAGGCCATGTTAGCCAAGTGGATTGGACAGGCCATCTCGGCTTGCTTACAACCCCCAAGAATCGGTGAAAACATCGTGGCTTTAATTAGGCAAATTTGGCAAAGTTTGAAGAGACATTGCCACAGGTAGACTCTCTTCCATGCCGAGAATACGCCTGCTCGAATGCTGCGGTGACAAGAGTGGGAAAATCTCAATGGCACAATTCAATTCACTTCAGATCCTTTTATTTGATCATGTTTGTTCATTGTGTGTTCTATATTTGAGGTTCAATGCTGCCTTAAAAGCTCGCGAGAATCTTAAAAGCAGGTGAGCTCAGGAGACCAAATCAACTACCAATAACCTATGAGCCTATGGGTAGGAAATTGTTTGGGAATTTCGCTTCTTTTAGTGTGGACTTTTTTGGAGATTGCTGGCTGTGCGTGTTTCGGATGCCCTTTGCAGCATTATGGCGCTGTAATCTTCCGTTCTGCATAGTATTTGCAAGTTGGTATTGGTTGTTTGTTGTATTCTTGTTGTTGCTCCTCTTCTTCTTCTTCTTCTTCGTCTTCTTCTTCTTCTTCGTCTTCTTTTTCTTCTTCTTCTTCTTCTTCTTGTTGCAGTTGCAGCTGTAGTTGTAGTTGTAGTTGTACTAGTTGCTGTCGTAGTTGCTGCTGTAATTGTCGCAGTTGTAGCTGGCTGAAGCTGTAGTTGTAGTTTGTTTTTGCAGTTGTAGTAGTAGTTGTAATTGTGTGTTTGCATTTGTACTTGTTGTTGCTGTTGCTGTTGCTGCTGCTGCTGCTGTTGCTGCTGCTGCTGCTGTTGTTGTTGTTGTTGTTATCGACTTGGTTGCTTTTGTTGTTGCTGTTGCTGTTGTTGTTGTTCCTGGTTGTGGTATAGCTGTAGAAGAACACCAACAACTGCTGATACTGTGGTATTTGTTCAGGTGTATGCTGTGTTTGTGATTGCGTTGCGCCTGTGGTTATGGTTGTGTAAAGCCAAGAAGGCAGAAAGTTGACGAAAGCATCAAGGCCAAAAGAAGCAGAGAAGCAAGAAAGCAGAATTTCCATGGTATTTGCCATATGTTCAGCAGTGTGGAACGTCAACCTTCACTGTGGAGATAGAACCTCTCATGTTGAATGGTGTTCGCAACATTTGGAGATAGAACCTTTCATGTCGCATAGTATTTGCAGCATTTCGGACATGATATTAGCAGGATTGTCGAACTTCAATTTTGCAGTTGGCATGGTTTATCCAGTATTGTGGAACTTCGACCTTCCCATCTTGCAGTGTATATGCAATATTGTGAAGCTTCAACCTTCCAATTTAATATGAGCCATTGTGGAGTTTCAACCTTCCATTTTGTTTGAAGCACTGTGACATGTTAGGACTCATGGTCTTTACACCAAAAAAAATAACAAAATGACACGAAGCAACAAAATAGAAACAGCTGGAGGAGGCATGGGGGGGATACCACAGCACCTTCCCTCTAAGGAAAGCAGAGACAATTTCGCTATAGTTTTGGCACTGATTTGCGGTTGTGGTTGCTCTTCTTAGGGTCTTGCTGTTTTTGCTTTTGTTGTTCTTGTTCTTGTTGTAATTTTGCAGGAAGGCAAGCAGAAAAGCACAAAAGCAGAGAAAAAAAAACAGCAGAAAAGCAGAGAAGCAAAAAAAAACAGAGAGGCATAAAAGCAGATAAACGCAAAAGCAGAGAAGCAGAAAAGCAAAGAACCAGTAAAGTGGAGAGGGAGAAATCGAAAGAAAACTAAACTGTGCAAAGGAAAATAAATAGCTCCGCATAATCGCATACTATGTCAACCCTGGATCGCTACGCTGCTAAAAAGAGCAACCAAAACGCTATCAAATAGAACCCCCCCATGGCCACCCTTATTCAGCCAAGCCTTTTTTTCAACTCCAGGGTAAATTTAGATGTGCGTAAAGGCTTTCCACGTATCTTAAAGTCACAGCACCGCATCCCGCACCCCATCACCTCCTCTCTAAATAGCTTCTGCTGCTGCTGCTTCAGCCTCTGCTGCTGCTTTCTCAGCTTTCATCTGGGCCTGAAGCTACACTAGCCACGAAAGGAGAAAGTTGGGGCACATTTGTGGTAGGAGGTGTCTACTTTCGGGACTTCCTCTGATGGTCTAGTTGTACCAAAAGCAGGATGCTAGTTGTCTTTTGCCCTGCTTAACAGGTGTGCAGTATTTCACTTGGACGAGATAATGATACTTCCGAAACAATTGTGTGTTGGTTTTTCCTGGCAGTCTTCTTCTGAGACGAAGGACTGGGCAACCAGGCCAGGTAGAGTGACTTCATTCTACAATCGTGGAATAAAGGTCAGGGAAAACATCTCTGAGTATGGGACCTTGAGCTTTCGCATGTCTGCAGGGTAGCTGATATGGAAGAAGCTGTATCCCAAGAAAGTCACGCACCACGGGATGCAAATGGTTGCCTTGGCCATTGGCACACTGAAGTTCCACCGCTTTCTCGTTTTCTGGATCTTCTTTTGGCATGTTCTCACCTTCGGACTCAGAATGGCATGACTCAGAGACAAAACCACTTATTTTTGCTGGGCTACAGCCATTGCCTGGCCCAAAGCTGTGGCGGAGGGAATATCTTTGCTCTCCCCCTGGACGATGGAGTCAGCTGGCACAAAAACCCTTTGCCAAAAAGCTGTGTTCCAGCAAAGCAATGCCTACCCCATGGTCCAGCTGTTATGGAATCAAGTTTGAAAATGATTGCAAAAGTCTGTGCAAGACTTTTCAGCTTCAAAGCAGAACCTCAGCAGTAGACCCAGGATTTTTGTGATACCATGCGCGGTCCTTGACTCTGCCAAATTGGTAGCCGAAGGCATTCGCCAAGTTTGCCACAAAAAGCGGGCCAATGAGGGTTGCAATGGAATTCTCAAGTGCGCATTCCACGGCCATCACTTTGCCTTGAGACACAAATTGAGAATGCTTTGCATCATTGTCTAACGATCCTTCAGCTGTCTTTACAGCTGTCTTTGTTCTAATAAAAAGACAAACATCAAGGACAAGTTGGCTTGAAGACACAGGTGGGTAGACTCAAAAAAAACTCACCAACCACTCTGCCCACCGTGTGCCAAAGGACTGCGATTCTTGGGTGGCACGATGTCGGACAAAATAGGGAAATTGGTCCCTGACTGGGCCCAATTCCCCAGCAGGCTGAAGGATGCAATGACCGCGAAGTAAACACCTGCATAGTGACTGGAGCGGCTTCGTAAAGCCGAGGGTTTTCTCACCTGGTCACTGCTACAGCAGTTGAAGGACTTGAAGGATCTGCAGCTGTACTTTTCGGGTAAAATGTCATGGCACCAGGATAGACGCTGTCGGGAAAAAAATGACTCAAATCGACTACGATGACAAACAAGGCTTCATAATATTATAATATATTATATATTTATATTTATATGTATGCTGTATGATTCTGAATGTATATCATAATATGTTATATATATATACATAGTTTTAATGTCGTTGTGGTGGCCCTCCCCATGGTGTAGTTTTTTTACGCCAAGCATGAGAAAGTCAAGACACCGAAGGTGGCTGCATCAGAGCCCGGAGGGATGCCAGCAAACCACAAATAGATCAGTGGGATTCCAATGGCCACAGTGATCTGTGCCTCTGTGCAGCGCTGTGCAGTGAAGATGTGGTCTTCCAATGTCTTCCAACGACCAGAGATGAAAATGGAAATCATCAAACGACATCAGGTAACTATCCCCTGCAATTGCTGGGCACTGGGCCGGAACGTGATTTGAACAGGATGAAATGTGTTGATCATGCCACGGCTTTGAAGTAGAAACTTTACCACAAAATTATAACTCACTCAGAATTGTGAAGGGCCTTAGCTGCCAAGCTGCGTTCAAAGGACGGCCATGGTATCCAAAGCGTTTGGCAAGGCAGTCAGCAACAGCGCCACCAATGAGGTTTCCGAAGACACCCACCACAGTGCCTGGGGGCAAGCTTTGGAAGTGGCACACAGCTGGACCCTGGTCGACTTATCGAAACTGTTTCAGGAAAGGTGGAAAGGCCAGCCCTCGCGGGAATGTATGTTTTTTCCATCTCACACTTCTATTTCTTTTATGGTGCTATTGGATAAATACATAAACTTTGAATAAACCGAATGAGCATCTGCAGTGGCAGTCCTTCTGATGCCAGGAGCGATCCTTGCCAATCTTCAAGGCCCGAAAGCTTGAAAAAGAGCAAGTTGTTTCCCATCACCTGAGACCCGCAGAGACCCAGGCGCAAATTGGCAAATCTGTGCCTTGCAGCGAAGCCTTGCAGCCATGAAACTGTCCAAGGGATGGTGCCAAAGATTCCTTGCCTGCAGAAGCCAACACAAGTTGGGCATTGCGGCATTGGTAGGACATTCATCCAACTCATGCAGAGGATATGCAGCAATGATTTTCGTCATCCCTCTGCGGAATTAAACCCCTTGACATGTAATGAATCAACCTGATGAGCATAGAATCCGAGGGTAGAAGTAAAGCCCGTCTTGTCTCCTCAAAGCAAGGTCTACTAGTCTCTGCCAAGCTGCACCACCATGATGCAAAAGGTGGGAATAGTCAAGAACTGGGCCTCTGCAGCTCGCTGTGCGTGCAGAACATCAGCTAAGTCGCTAAGTTGCACGGCTTGTTGCACTGTCAATCTGAGCTGAGCATAGCTGATCCCATGCAACGCGAAACAAAGAGCATGAAATATCTGAAACATCAATTAAATCGAATGAAACCTGGTATGTTGCCGCCAGGCGCTCTTGTTCAACACTTCACCCGGCGTACACATCCGGACGACCCGCCGCGCCATGATGGAGATCTCCTGCCACACTGCACCGCAGCATCCCTTCCCCGCAGAGTCGTCAAGCTGCTTCGGCGGCTCCACCTGCAAGCACTGCAAGCCATGGCTAAGCCATTCCTCCAAATTGCAGGTGTTTGTGAAGTATCCTGATTTGGTGCAACTTTAAATAGTAATATATAGTAATACTGTAGTTTTTTTTCCACAATTCTCTACACGAGATATTGATATCTCAGCCCACACAAGCAGAAAGAGAGATAGAGAGAGAGAGACAGGCGGGTTGGAAAGACAAAAAGATACAAAAAGTATCAAGAAGATTTGCCAACACAAAATCTGGACTCAACTTTGCCATCAGAAAACTGAGAGTTGTGAGACTCCGAGGTCTGCATTTGAAGATTTTGAAGGTCTCAATGGAAAACCCAGAAATCTATGGATCGAGTCCTGTGAGGCGCTGAGGATGCTGAGGCGTTGGCCATAAAAATGCCAATCACCAGACCGACGAGAGCTGAAAGAACACCACCCAACACGAAGAGCGCTCTCCAGCCAGGGATTTCACCTCACCAGCCAGGGACTTCAATGGCAGTGGTACTGAATTGGGAATGGCATGGAATGGCAACTTGGATCACAAATCTGAATGTTGACCAGGGCCAACTTTGAAGCTGAATGTGGCTGTGGGATTGTGGATACTTCGTTCAATTTCAGTATCTCCAAAATACTCTCTGTAACAGCTCAGCATCTCAGACGTTGATAGATGGGAAGAACACGCTTGAAACTTGAGTGCAATCACTCATCGTTCAAGCAGCGCGATGATCTAGCAGTTCTTCCCATGGTGCACATGCATTCTTGTGTAAGCTTATGCACATATGAGCAGTGTTCCCTTCCATGATACTGGTTGGTTGAGGGGGATTCCAAAATGGATGGTCAGAAGCTCCAATATCTTGGGTCGTATAACCCCCTTCAATCATGAAGCAACAGGGGTTTGGAACACTGCTCACATCTTCTATTCGCGGTAAACATGCCAAACTTCCCACTTCACCAGTGCAGAAACTATGCCGAGTCACCCACTTGGATGTTGGCCAAATTTCCAGCTACCCTCAGTTTCGAAAATCCCGGCAGGATTTGTTCTTCTCTTTAGAACACTATATACTATATATACATCCTTGACATGCCTTCTGATGTTGCATTGTCTGTACTGAAGCAACTGGCCTCTGACTCTGTTGAACGAAATTTAAAAAGACGTTTTCCACCAAGTCTACAGGATCAACATTCAGACTGTAGACACAGAAATTCCCAGACCTTGCGACTAGTTGCAAGGTGGTGACGCACATGCCAACCAAGAGTGCACTTTGCACATAGGAGAACATCTTTCCACGGCGATCATCAGATGTGGAATCTGCAACGATGCCATTCACGATCGGCCTTCACCACTTTCACTGTCTGACAGTCTGACATTTTTTCAGTTTTTCAGCCATGGTGGATTCAAAGTTGCCTTCATCCAGTCTACTGGTAAAGCCGGTAAAGCCGGTAAAGCCCAAGCAAGATTTCTCCGGATGATACCAGCAATACCAATCCTCATGATCAAATAAGCAGCAAAGCCATCGCCTCAAGGAGGCCAAGAAGAAGCCACTCATCCCTCTAAGGACCTGGAAATGTCATGTCGCCCCAGCTTATGAAATCTTTGTTAGTTAGGCAATATATGGCAATATCTTCCAACAGCACTAAGTCACTAAGTTCTTCGATGCTTGCAGCTGCAGCTGAACCCTGGTGCAACCATGACACAATCATGAAGGGAAAGCTCGGCACGAAGGCCATCAGTGTGGCCTGAGCTACAAGTCCCAGCCTTTATTCCAGACAATTCCGGTGCAACGAATGCCGTCTTCAGCACCATATGTTGGTTAAGAAAGTTAAGGTGAAATTTGACAATGCATTTAGGTTTAGGCTCCAGAACCTGGCATGTCAATGTATATCGCAGTTCGTGCGGCCAAACGGCTGCTGTAGCCTCTCCTATGGCTCCAATCATCAGAATGTGCTTCCTCTTGATGCAACCTGTGCAAAATGTCCACCATGCCAACAAGAAGACATGTCTCAAATGTTCAATGATTGTTAATGATTAAGAATGATTGTTCATAATTATTCATGACTATTAATGATTATCAATGATTTCTGATCACCAAATGGTCTGAGCCAACCTTTTCCAAACTTCCAGAAGGCGGTGAACATATTCCCTCTGAAGGAGTGTCACTCAAGGAATTGTAACAAGTATATAAACAAACAGATTCCTGGTTTCCGTGCCAGTATGGCTCTCAAAACCGTCCTGGAATCTATGAAATTGCTACACCTTCGGCATGTACTACATTGTAGGCATCTGTAGGCACTCAGATTGTTGGCATGTTTCTTCCTGGTAAAAAAGGCCTCGGTCAGCGATGCCGCCCCAAAAGGGTGCAGCCAGGTTGGTGAGGACCATCTGGACCGAGCTCAGGATGGCGACATCTGTTAACACCATCATGCCGCCTTTCTGCAAAGCAAACTGGACCGCTGGAACTAGCTGCGAGTCGATGCCTGCAACAAGCTGACAAGCTGACGAAAGCTGCGACTCAATGACAAGCAGTGCGAAAAGAAGTAGGGACACCGGGTTAGTTCAAGGGACTCAAGGGAAAACTTACAGGAAATCATGGCGTCTACTGTGTCTTTCATGCCTATTTTTTCACTGCGGGATTGGAACAGCAGCTGGCGCCAACCTTTTTTGTCCACTGGGTAACCTGCAGTTGCAAAGTCTTGAAAGACTCCTCGCGAGGCTTTCAACCTCAGGTGACTCATGGTCCCAAAGAAAGTTGCCGCCAAATCAGCTTCATAAGCTACCTAAAGATATCTAAGACATGAAGATTTTGACTTCTCACTGTTTGGCTGTTGTTCGAGAAACACGATCAATTTTGCACATATGTCACTTCCGTTTCGTCTATGTTCAAGTTCCCTCCGCAAATCGTTGCTAACGGGTCATGTTTGCTACCATTGCCCCAAGACAAGATAATACTGGTGCAGTCATTGCCAATATTTGAGCAACAGTCGATATGCCTCTCATTTTCCACCTCCTGCCTGTTCCCACCTGGCCTTTCGCGTGGTCGCGACAAGCGAAGCACAAGACCAAACTGAGCCAAGAAGGCGAGTTCGTCGTAGTCATTTCCCTGCACCTGCTTTGACAAAACGTTTGATCTTGCAAGGACTCAACAAACCATCAAATGCAATCAGAAGTTATATCGTATGTTATGTTTATATGTACAATTAGATATATACATACACATAACATCGAATATAACTTGTATAGCCTACAAGCCTGCTTCTCACCCTTGGAACTCAAAAACAACTGACACAAACGTACGGATCTCAAAAGTTGTTTCATATTGATCCAAGGAGCGAAGGTCTGATAGAACTGCTCTAGTTCCGCATTGCTTCCTTTCAGCACCAGTTGCCGCGTGGCAATATGGGAGCGGATCTCTGAAATTCCCGGTCGCAGCGTCGAAAAAGCGCCGTCTTCAGTGCCATGATCTTTGCAAAGCACATCGTATTTCCGTCGCCAAAGACCAAAACCACAGTTGGCGTAGTGAAGCACCACAGGTGCGCCAGGACCTTTGCACAGCAAGGTATACAACGTCATCCCTCCATCCCGCAGAAATCCATGCACGCCGGCTGGAAGTGGTGGAAGTTCTCCACGTGGCCCGATGGAGGTCCTAACAGCACACTTTCCGTTGGAATAGGAATTGAAATATGCTGGGCAATGCGGTCGTGGACCATGGCAACTTTCATCATCGCTGGAGTCAGCACTTGTTGCTGGCTGTTCTATTGCACTTAGGGTCACATCCAAACCTTTGAGAACAGGAGCTCTCTTTGACGCAATCTCATGCATGATGGACAAAAGGCGACGCAGAGCATGTCTTTCTCTTCGAGGGAGCCTCACGTATCCATGAGAACGACCACCTGGGACAGCATCTGCATGTCTGCGCGCAAAAAGATCTGGCTCGAATTCCTCATCTTCTGCAGCGACTTCGCCGGAATATAAAATGCGCGGTTCAACGCCAAGCTCTTCCAGAAGCATTGGACTCATCTTGAACAGAGTCACCTCTTCGAATGGATCTTCAACGTCCAACTGTTCAGGAACTGCTTCAAGGTTCGCAAAGCGGACTGCAGAAAAATGTAGAGGAACTTCTGAAAAAAACTTGCGAGCATCGTTGTGCCTTTCTTGGTCAGGGAAGAATAAGATCTCATCCGCATCCACGTGAAGAAGCCACTCGAAGCCTTCCGACTGGGCAGCGAACAGTGCATGTTCGGTGCAGAGCATTTGCCGTGCCTGAACATCTTTAATATGTGTATCAAGGTGGGTAGTTTCGCGATAGAGTTCTAGCGGCTCATCTTCACGCAAGTAGTATCGTGATTTTTGGCGAACTTCACTCCACCACTGATCAGTGCATGGGATGGCAACTGCAGAACACAACAAGCCATTGGGGCCAGTGAGTAACGGCCTACTGAACTTTCGCACAGAAGCTATTGCATCAGGCTCCCCTTCATCATTTGGAGAGTCAAAGTAGAGCATGACCTGCTGAAATCCATTGGCGTGGTGCTGCAGAATCAAGCTTTCAAGCACCTTACCTGGAATGCCTCTGACCATCGAAGCAACACAAAGTTTTGGAAGGTGACCCTCACAACGGTGATCCTCATGAAGAAGTGGCGGTGCTTCCATCAGGGTCCCATCAGGTGAATGCCAGCTGCTGAGCCATGCCAAATCCATCAGCGGTTTCGGCCGAAGGCCCCTTGGCAGCTTGCGCCAGGCCACACCATTGGCCTCTGCGCAACGGAGCGCTTCGAAGTATGGCCAGTCCTCCATGTTTCGGCTGACGCGGAAGAAGCGTGGCAAACCAATCTTGCGACCATCGACCAAAATGTATACAGCTTGAACCTCTGAGATTTCGCTGGCCCAAACTTCATCTTCGTGCAACCTGGCCCAGCCATCCTTGAAGTCTTTGGCTAAAACCAAACGACCATATTCCAAGCATCCCAACTTGACAGCATCAGCGACAGGCGCTGATCGCAGTTCAACATCTTCAGTGGCTTCCAGCAACAGCTTCTCCTGTGCCTTGGCCTGAAGTTGCTCCAGCATCTACAAAGGCTGCCCACTCAGGGCCACAAATGATTGGCTGCTCATACCAGCTGGATCAGGAAGTTATCATTGTAAAGACCCTGAAAAAGATGTAACATGATGTAATATGACAGCCTGAATCGGCAGCTGTGCTTGCATTGGCCAGAAAATGAACACCAAACATTGCGTGACACTGGTTTTGGTTCGATGCAATAATTAGCCGCTGTCAGGTGGTGACTTGCTCATCTGTTCGCTGCCTCTTGATGTTTGCCTATTTCTTTCTTGATCGAAGCCAAAACTGCTGACAGTATATACCATGACACATGAATTCTTCCCGTTGCATGATCTTGAAAATAGTCGGAGAGGGCAACAGATCTGTATTCAAAACGGGGGTGATGTGAAATCCAAAAAGGTTTAGATGATGTTGAGACCGACGGGGCTTTGGCTTTGCTTCAGAATTGCTGGTCTTTCCAGGCTTGGGAAATTACCAGACTTCCGCTGATGATATATTCGAGTTGCTTTTTTCGGCTGTGAATCCTGACAGCAAACCCTCCCAGCTCTACTTCTCTCATACTGTTTGACGATTACTGTACCTTTCTTAAGCTCCCGTCTTTAGATTCTAAGTTGCCTTTTTTGAAAATAAATTAACAAAATGCTTTGTCTGTGGTGCATCATGGACAAAGGCTTGTTGATGTCCTCTTTCATGGAAAATCTGTATCAATCAGTCGTGAGAGAGTCGACATCTGCTCATTTTGTAGAGTTAGAATTAGAACAGCATGGCTTGTCCAAAATCAAGCTTTCAAGCTGTATCTAGGCCGTCTTTTTGTGTGCCCACGTACTTGTACCAGATCCCGTGGGTCACGGTCAACTGCCATCCATGGCCCTTGGCCCGAGGGCCTTCTACTGCGCTGGCCAGGCAAAGAGCAAAAAGCATCTTCCAACCAGGCTGTCGCCCCACATCAGCACCATCCATGCCCGGCTCTTTGGCGTCTGTAATCTCAGAGGCATGGCTTTCCTGCTGAGTCCAACAAATCTCAGCTTCCAAACAAAATGCCGTCACATATTTCTAGATATTGTTTTGATAGTTAAAAGATAATAAAAAGTACTTGAGGGACAGCCAAGCACATCGAGAGGCTTTGATGTCCTCCAACTTCTTGGGCTGAACTGGCGACAGCACGTCCATGGCCTCAAAATTTTGATGAAACACATCACAAAATGACGCGGCTTCTTGTCACAGTCCAATTGTTCCCACTGCAATGCTGCAACGATTTGAGGTCAAGACTGGGCCACAATGGAGCGGCAATCAGCGTATAAACCAAAAGCTTGAACCAGAAGCTGAAACAGCTTCAGGACAAGTTCCAAGGTGGCATCTGCTTGGTGAGATAGTGATCTACTGTGTTCACCACCTTTATTTTACAAGTTCCTTTCACAACAATCACAGTTTACAGTTTCAATTTGTTGATGTTTCACTATTTCCACCTCATAATTTTCTTGTCTTTTTGGGATTCCGGACTTGTCCAAGCTGCCAGTGTCATCAACATCAACCTGGCACCACGTTTTCAGCTCTTGAAGTCATTGTTTTGTTTGGCATGCCGGGTTTTCCAGATGTTTCATGTTCGACACACCGAAAAGATGTCGGAGTGCAGCCCGCCTTGCTCAGCATGGTCTGCATGACCAGGAAATTGGCGGTGAAGCCCAACTCTCTCAGCGCTCGCATGGCCTTGAGCGGTGATAGTGACCCGTGTTTCCGACAGGGGGGCTACTGCCGAAAAAAAAAAAGTTGTTTGCTGGGTCAAAACGATGGTACCCTGATGTGAAGAACCCTAAAAAAGCTGGTCAATGAATCCACCCAAATACGGTGCGGTATATGATAATTATTATAATTCTGATTGATTATGTAAAATATACATATATGCGTATTTCACAGGTTTTGATCCATCCGCAAGTGTCAATAACCAAACACTCCAGCTACTCTAAAGTGATATCACTGGCCCCAAGCCTCCAAGGCTGGAAGACTTTGCACTCGATCCTTCCCGGGCTCTTCACACTACTTACCCGGGCATTGAGACCACCTATTGCAGGATACTTTGGAGCTTGTTTTCCACACTGCAAAGTGTACCGAAACAAGGTTATGTGAGTTATGTGAGTCATGTGCAAGTTTCCATGGCTCACCAAGCAAATCCAATTGCATCCATCAAAGTCTAGAAAAAGTTGGCAGCTTATGGAGTTTCGGACCCTAATTTGCGAACCCTTGGCCTTGTCGAAGGCTCCATCAATCTGCTGCAAGTCAATGTTGGCAAAGCCCTGCAGAGTTTTGTCTTTGCATTGAGCATGCCAAAACGTGGAAAACGCAGACGGGCCTCCCGCTTCCGGTAGGTCAAAAGCAAGCGCCAAAGTCCACTGAGATCCATCCTCGGTTCACAAGACATTTTAGACAAACTTTAGATTTTTAGACACAAAATACAAACAAGATACAAACAAGATACATTTTAGGTTTGGTGCAACTTGCACAACTTCATCGTACAGAGTGCAAGAAAAGATACGGGGCTGTGAGTTCGGCAAATCTGGCTGTGCTGAACCAGCACTTGCTCGATTCACGACGATCTAAATGAATACACAAACAGAATCAAACATGTCCATTCATAGATATTCTGCATACTCCCAACAAACAAACAAAGAAACAAAGTACAAACAGTATCAAAGAGTGCCATGTTTGGTGGTACACCGAAAATGCATGGTGGTAGCTGGTGAGGCTCCAAAACGTGGGTGCTCAAGCTAAAGCTAGTGACAAGTTGACAAGTCGAATTGCAGCTTCCAGAGGTTCTCCAGCTCTCAAACCCTCCTGCATACCCTTGATTTCAATCTTCACCATCTCAAAGAATTAAGGTACTGACTCTGAACTGTCAACGCCAGCTTCTTCAGCAGCCTGGCTCAAAATGATTTACTATCACCCTCCTCACCCACCTCTAAAATACCAGCAAATACCAGGAGCATCAAATCTAAATGTGGGTGGTTGCAGCAATTTCCAGCTGCAAAGAAATCCAACAGCTCAGGGAATTTGGCATAAGCATCTCCGCAGTTTCCAGTTTTACTGTTCCCTTTAAACATCAGTCTTAAGGTCCTGCCAACCAGGCCTCGAAAATGGCTGAGATGTCCCACATCTCCTCAGTATCCCACTTTCTGACACTATTCAAATCTATTCAATGAGCCCATAATCTCTGTGCCAATGATCGCCGATCGCTTCAGGTGCTGCAGCTGTCGTGCACTGGGCTTAAGGCATAACCAATTTCCTTCAGAATTGGCACCACCTGAGTTTGCCATATCATAATCCCTTCTTCCTATTACTAAAACTCCCCCAAATAAAAAATAGGAATGGTTTGGCACTTCCGATTTTTTTGGTTGGTTACAATTGGATTCTTAATTGTGGTAATTGAGAATCAATAGGAGAACAGGATGGTGAAACAATGGGTTCAACCCCCTATCAATAAAAATAGAATGGAACCTGGAGGTTTCTTATTAGGGTCCCATTTCACAAGTTTTACCCTTTATTTTTATCATTGATGTTTTCATTGGAATATGAAGGGAAAGCTTTGAAATCCAGTTTTTGGCGATTATATTATTATTATTAGTATTAGTATTATTGTTATCATTATTATTGGTGTTATTATTATTATCATTATCATTATCATTATTATTATCATTATTATTATCATTATTATTATTATATATATAATATAGAGAGAGATAGATTTTAAAAAGGGATTTAATCAAATTTGAAATCGTTTCTTAAATTTTGATTATTAGGGTTTTCATTGGAATATTAAACCCTAATAAAAATACCCCCTAATAACAAAAATAAATCACCGTGTTTACCATTTGGGGGGGGCGTGTTTTAGTAATAGGGAGAGAGAAGATTAATATCTGATATTCTCTTTGCAGTACCAGTACCAGTACCATTGCACAGTGCACATGCATCACTTGAAAAACAAACTCGGCATCATGTCAAAAGGAGCCTGTCTGATGTGTGTGCAACATGCAAAACCTGCCTCTCTCATGCCGATGGTGCCGGAGTTGTCCGAGTCATGCTTTCTCAGGAGGTGCTGAACCATCTGGCATGAACAAATCGACTTGACGTATCATTGTTCCGGACAGCTCCATTCCAAATAGTGGCACCCCTGAGAAACTCTTCATCTTCCACAATGGAATTCGTCCACTCGTCCACAATGGAATTCATCAAATTTATTCAAATCTGCTCCATAGTCAGCATCAGTATGATAGCGCGATATCAGTTTTTTGCGGTGTCAAATTCATATTGCGCCACGCACAAACGGCTTTCTTTGAAAATTGATATTCTATAGGGTATATATATATACCCCTAAATTGAAACGCAAATTCAGGGTATCCCCAGTCTTGGACAACCCAGATGGCCCCATTGATGGCCATTGTAAAATAGTGCCAACTTCATTCCATCTTGCCCTGCCTCCAACTCGTGCTCGCGAACTTTGCGCATGCAAACTATGAAGTTGTGTGGGTCCAGGCGAGTTCCGCTATTCACCTGATCCAGAACCTGCTGGATGCGCTCCTTGGGCCACATGAAGCCCAGCCAGTTCAGGATGGCAGGGAGATCCTGGACCAGCGGCAATGGGGATAATCTTGAGTTTAAAAAATGAACTGAACCTGACATGAACCCAATTTTGTCAGATGAATGTGATCTGTACATGACATGAAGCATCGGCATAATTGTGCTTCGGAAACTCTCCCAGATTCATGAGAAGACCCACGCATATCGGCACTTTGCAAGCATCCGCTAAATCTCCACCAGGCACCTTGCCATCAACCTGGCCCTTCCGTCTATCATAGCGCCGCAAGATACTCACAAACTCCTGCCAATTCACGAGAACATGTGGTGCAGAATGCCCAGCTGGGCCCAGCTGGGCCCAGCTGATCAAAGGGGCAGAATTGAACACCAAGCAGTGATGGATTTCAGCCTGGAATTTGATGTCCAGCTTTATTTTTGCCCAATACTCATTGCAAATGGCTCCTCAAATTCGGAACGCGTGAATCCTTCTCTCATGTGCAGGAGGTCCAGCAACTGCAGTCGTGAAAGGGACTGAAGGCGTTCAATTTCATGCAAATGACCATGGCATTGGAGGTGTTGGTGTCAGATCATCTTCCCCTTTCCCAAGTTCTCGAGATCAAACACATCAATATTGATCGATACTTGATATATAAATTTATCTGTGTATATATATATATATATTATATATAATATATAATATATACATATATATATTATATATAATATATATATATATATTATATATATTATATATATATTATATATATATTATATATATATTATATATTATATATATTATATATATATTATATATATACATATGAATAGGTATGATGCATGGTCAAATTGTACTGAATTGTTGTGGTCTCTCTGAATTGGGCAATCATGTCTCAAACTACGCGTTTGATTGAACCTCTTTGAACTCATCCAAGTCCAATGTGCCACCCTGATCCTGACAGAGCTATCGGCCACGACAAATACTTGTATGGCGAAATGATGTGAAACGGCATCTGTTTAAGCAAGACAATGAAACCTACAGCTCGGGAAACCCAAGTCTGTTGGTTGAGCGAAAGCAGCAAGTCCCAGAGCCTTGTCCACTTCTTCAATGACCTTCCGGCACGGATTGATTGACCAAGAGAAAGTAAGAATAGCAGACGAGATCTGATCATTTTGAATTTCCCATTGTTCAATCTAAAAATAACCCCCACTTGGCTGGCCTCTTCCAACACATGTGACCTCAGCTCACGACGCGTGATGTGTTGGAACACAAGTCTACAACACTGACACTTTGCACGTATCCCAACAGCACTTGCAAAGAGCAAATTCACACTTTATATGCCGGACAAATCCATATTGGTCACTATCAGACTTTGTTCTATGTCAGAAAACTCCAGTTGGATTCAATTCCATGTTTGCTTTACTTGGGGGTTCCCATAAATGGAGGTACCCCATTTATCATCCATTTTACTTGCGGATGTTCCATTTTTGACAGGATTTCCATTAAAAACCATCCGGCTATTGGGATATTAATCATTCATTTATAATCCAATATAATCCATTATAATCCATTATAATCCAATATAATCCATTATAAACCAGTACTATCCCATTTATAGAAACCCCTACGTGTTTGCGTCCTTTCCAAGCCGCAGGCATCGGCTGGACATCCAGTTCCTCCAGCATCTCCGCGAGCTCTGAAGACTTGGCCGCATAAGACATAGTACATAATACATACTACATATATTTAAATGTATACATGTACATATACATAAACATATACATTTACGTACTATAGATTATGCATACGTAATATATAGTGTAAAAAAAATATAAGTGTAATATATAAAATAAAATAATATATAACATATAATATATAGTATCGAATAAAATATATTCATTATCTTAAAAATATATATAGTATAAAATATATACAATAAAAAAAGAATGACAATAGTATGAATATATGATATATCATATGTTGGTAAATTACATATGTATATTACATATTATATATTACATATTAAATATCATATTATATATTAAATATTATATATTATATTTCCTATTGTATATCAAATATTACAGGTCATATTATATATTATTTATCACATATTAAATACAAAATATTATTTTAAAAAAACAAAAGCATATATATATATCAATGATAACGCATATACATCATATTATATATATATCATAATATATATATATATCATAATATATAAATATATATCTCACAATATGTGTATACATCTCATATATCAAATCATAAGTTTAATAAATATCATATACTATATAAATATCAAATATAAAAATACCATATTATATATATATATATCTCATATACTGTATATATATACCATATATTAAATGTATATCTATATATCATAGTGTATATATATATCATGTATTATATATAAACAATACAAGTCAATTTATCATAAATATATTTATAAGATATTTTACATATAATTATATTATATATATATTTCTCAAATAGATATTATATAAATATGATGTATGAAAAATATATATATACATATATATATGTATATCTATATATATATATATAAGCAACGCGCCTGTCATTTTCCACTGCAACATTGAGAGATCCATCGCCAGCAAGACCACTTTGGTCCAAAAGCTGGCACTTTCACCCGGGTTTTAGACACATTGGGCTGGGGAAGCTTGAGAGTGATCATTGTAGTTGCATGCTTGATGTCAAGCAACGCGCCTGTCATTTTCCACTGCAACATTGAGAGATCCATCGCCAGCAAGACCACTTTGGTCCAAAAGCTGGCACTTTCACCCAATCTTTCCACCACCCTCTCCAAGCTCCTCATCGTCTTTGGTCTGGAAGAGGTTCCACCATGTAGTGGGTGGGATTGCAGAGTTTAGGAAGGCCACGGACTGTCCCAAGATTTTGGTGAAGTTCCCAGCCAGCTGATTCACCCTAATCTTGGTCTGCCTATCCAGTGTTTCTGCAAAGGTGGTGTAGAGGATTTCCTGAAGGTATATTTCCATAACCTTGTTTGTAACCCAACGTCCCCTACGCCGCACTTTTTCTGAGTCTTCCGATTCCAGCAGCATATGTGTAGCGCCCCCAGGGCGAAGACTCCCTAGGCTGAAGGGATATCGCCCTTTGATCTTTTCTGTCGCCAGCCCAACTCCCGCTAATAGGCAGCAAAAGCGCTTTCTCAGAGTAGCTGCTGAATAGGGCCAGAGTCTTGTTGATGATGGGCACTTTCCATATACTGCTGAAAGTAGGCTCAGCACATCCGGTGGGTCGATGCGCGCTGCTTGATGGCGTGCTGCACGCCCACGTGTTTTCGGTGTCCGGATTCTGAGGAGGCCAAAGAGCACGCCTGGCATCGAGTCTTCTGGGAGTATCAAGTCACCTCGCTCAGCAATCAAGACTTCCCCAATGCGAAGAAGCCCACACCAGGTCAAACTAATCACTGATGCCTCAAGTGGCCACCCCCAAAGCAAAGCCAAGGCCACAATTGCTAGGAGGATTGATAGAGGCAAAGCAGGATGATGTTCACCTGGTTCATCTGACTGCCAGGCGAAGGCCAGGTCCCAAGCTCCAACCAACTGCTTCCTGATGACCGGTCTGGCCTGTGCCACGGCGTTAATTGTCTCAGCAAACTTCCCATACGCTTTCCCAGATAGAAACATATCCTGGCCATAGGCGGTGAGCCACTTGCAGATCTCCTCAGGGTCAGGCGGTTTTGCTGAAAGCAGCTGAGACAAAGAAACCTTGTGCACCTCAAACAGCCAGCACCGAAAATCTGAGAGCAGCTTTGTTCTCCGGTTCAGCGTATCTTGTCTGGCCACACGCGTGGCAACCAGTTCAATCCCCTTCCGTCTTTCTGCACGACTCCTCTCAAGCGAAGTCAAAGGCTCCATGGCGTCAGCTAGGCTAAGTCCAAAAATCAAAATCCACAACAGCCTATAGGGGGCTCTTTGTACAGGACAAGACGTGACAACCCAGCCCACGACCATGTATGAGACACCGAGAGCCAGGACAAGAGGGAAAATTCCATCGAGAAAAGTCCAAACAAAAGTCCATGACATCGAGAGGAGGTGCCCATAGAGTCGGTCAAAATCCAGGGTGACAGACAGACGAGATTCAGGGAAAGTCCAAAATGAAAATCCATCACTGTGCTGAGCCGGAGCAGGGGATTGCAGAAGAAGAAGCAAGATGCAGAGGCGGAGCCAGTTTGAAGCCCAACGAGAGAGCTGGCATGAGTGGAGAAGCTGGATCTGCTGCTGGCTAAGACCCTTCCGGACAGAGAGAGGAACAGGACTCCTCACTGGTACTCGTCGGGTCGGGTCATCAGCTATGTTGAGCCGAGTTGGAGCAAAATTCCATCCAGGATAAAGTCCAAAGGCTACCTGAATGGCCGAGCTCCTCTTGCAGGTTCTTTGAAGTCCATCGGCAGAGCTCCTGCCCTTCGCCAAAGCCCCTTTCGCCACTCGGGAGTCCATGAGGGCTACAAACCGGCTATCTGGCTGATCTGAGGCAGCTGCTGCTAAAACACCAAGGCCTCCATGAGCTTCCAACACATTGATATGGCTCTTGCGCTTCCAGTGCCAGCACTTTCGAGTTCTCCATTTCTCCGTCAGCAAAACATCATTCGAAACAACGCTCTCAAGGCCAAAAACATCTGGGCCCCTCTCCTCAAAAGCACAACCCAACCTCAAAACCCGGCTGAACTCCTTTGCTAGGTGCTCTGCAAGAGGCCAGGTATAGACTGCTGATCCCTTGGTAAGCTGGCCCTGGATCTTCACATGTGAGTGGCCCCCAGGACATTTGACTTCAAGGCGGAGAGGGTCAAGGCCATGCAAAAGAAAAATGAACTCTTTCTTGTGAAGAGAGGCAAACTGGCAGGATGCGATGACTGCCTCGCAAAAGCCCAGTCTCTTCAGGGCTCTCCAGGCTCTCATCCACGCCATCTTGCTCCGTCTCGGCTGCTCCTTCCCACATGGCCTACCAAACTTCCTTCCATGACGCAAGAGCACAAAGGATCTGAAAGCGAGGACGTTTCCTAGCCTGGTCTTGGGGCATCGCCTGTCAAAACCCTCTGGCTCAACGTAGGACCGCACTGCTGGATGTGCGGCAGGTGAGAATGTTGTGCATGGAGGCTCTGTAAGGAAAGCTTTGAATCTTCCCTCCTCAATCATGTACAGGCACCATTCCAAAAGCCTTTCATCAGTCATGTCATAGTGCTTTGAGGCAGTGAGGTCGAGGCAGGGAGCTACTGAGTGACCCAGGGCTGCAACACATGAAGAAACGCGGCCAGAACCACCAAAGAACTCCACAAAGTCAAAGTAAAGCAAAGGGCCTCTCTTGGGGGCCTTGAGGTGATCAGGCCCACAGGGCTCCGCAACTTCTTCACCCGCAGCAGCAAGAAGCGCCGCAGCTGGCGCATCCAACTTTGAATAGCATCCTTTCTTGTCACTCCCAAGCCACAACACTTCGACAGTCTCAGGATCAACCTTTGCTGAAACAACCGCCCCAAGGCCCAAGGAGGCATCGGAAGCGTAGACCTTCTCATTGTACTTCACTGCTATGTTTGAAACTGCAACTGGCGACAAAGCTGACAACAAGACAAGCTCCTGGGCAACCTTCCTAGTGAGGGGCACTGCCGTGTTTGGTCCGCTGGCTTCAGCCTCAGCTCCAAGCTTGAAGAAAAAGTCCACACTTGAAGTGAGGCACCTCCGGTAAAGCAAAACTGATGTCCAGCTGCCCGCTAGTCTGGCCAGGAGTTTTGAGGATGCAAACTTCAGTCTCGCTGCACGCAAGGACAAAGCAGCCAATGCCAGCCGCTTCTCAACAGGGGCCCCAACCAAGGTCAAGCCTCTTTGAACTGCTGAGGCCGATGAAATGATCTCCGCACCAGCTGCCTTAAAAACATTCTGGGCATCGATGTCCTTCTCAACTGAACCCTCCAAGCCTGCAGCCGCATAGATACAACGAGCTTTCGCCAGAGCCTTTGAGGCAAACGTGTTTAGAGGGCTCGTGGTGATGGGCTCGCATCCAATCGCGAAGTAGTCATCAATGATCAGGCCCTCACTCTGGCGCTGCAAAGGAAACAGGGCATGACCAAAAAGCCTCCTACTGCTCTCAAGCAAACCTCCTCTCTGCAAAACCTCTTCATGTGCCTTCAACGCAAACTCAACTCCTAAATGATCTCCCTGAAAAAGTGAGCCAAAACAGGGAAACCATTTCCCCTCAACTGCAAGGTCATCCGCGCTTTCAGCCAAAAGTCCAAAACCATCTCCAACGCTCTCACGTTGCTTCTTGGTGGGCTGCGTCGATCGCGCCTCCTCAAGGGCTCTTGTGCCATCAAGCTCCTCCTCTGAAAAGGCAAAGGCAAGCATATTTGACTGCGCGCGCTCCTCACTGATCTTTGCCTGGTGGTAGAAATCCCGTCGGTCAGTGACGGATCCGACAACTTGCTCAACAAAAGGCTCAACCCTCAAGTTGGTCAGGAGAAAGCCAGGGGGCAAATGGTGTGAAGGCCCATCAATCGCACGCTCCCTGGAGTTTGGAATCCTTCTGTCACCTATCTGCCGGTCTAGGTGGCGGTTCTTGTAGGCATTGAAGGTCTTGCAGAAGTGGTCACGCATCAGGGGCTTTCTGTGAAGTTTCAAAATCCCCTTGCTATCCCAAAGCTTCGCCAACTTGAGATTCTCACTGCGCTCCTCCCGTCTGAAAACTGGCCAAACTGAAACATCATCTGGCTCACCATGCAACAGAAAACGCGGCTCTTGAAATGGCAACCAAAGCGGGCCCGACAAAAAGTCTGCCATAGGCCATTCTCCAGTTCCAACAATCTTCAGGCGTGAGGCATCAAGTGACCTGTAAGGGAGGAGCTCAGGGTGGTCTGCAAAGGGGAGGAGGTGCTTGTCCTCCTTGAACTTCACTGGTTTTCGCTGAACATAGCTTTGGCTCAGCTCTGGATGGAGATCTGCAAACCTCTCCATCTGCAAAAGCGCTGCACCTAATTCAGGCCCGGATCGGCCAGGGACGGCAATGAACTGCTGCTCACCCTCCCCACACACAGCTATGAGAGACCGCAGGCGTTCAAACACCTTCATCTGCTCGGCATTCGGTCTCCTCTCAAGCTCAGATCTTGTAGGAAAACGCCCAAGGTACATGTAGTTGAGGGAGAAGACAACTATGTGCAAAAGTTTCTTCCTTGCCCAGGCTAACCTTGAAATCTTCTTGTGCTTGAGGCCCTTCTCAGAAAAACATCCAGGATGAGGAACTGGCAAGGGGAAAGCTGTGGTTGACGCGTCACAAGGGTCGCGCCATGTTGCAGTGAAAGATCTCCAGAGGTGCCATGAAAAGGCTGTGCGACACCTCAATATCCACCGTGGCAAACAAATGGCCCATGTGGAGAAGCCAAGCATTGTAGAAAGAGGATTTGGCTCCGGCTCCTCCTTCTCAAATTGAATTCCATCTTCATGCAAACGTGTCCAGCGCTCATTCAGCCTTCCACTTCCTCGGCGGCAGGCAGTGCTCCTTTTCCACGGCCCTTTTTCTTTGGCTGCTGTTTCGCTTTTGCCTTTGGGGCCGCTGCACCTTCGGACGAAGCTTCGAAACCCACCCTTCCAGCTGCGTTCATCTCGTTGCGCTTGTTGGAAATGACCTCCATTTCTTTGAGAAAAGCTAGGGCACATGTGACCCAGCGTTGATCCGCTAAGGGTGCGAAAGAGCGCGCCCTCGAGGTCGATGACAACTGGCGATTCACAAAGATGCTGGCTGGAGGGTCCTCCTGCAAACAAAGGAGGGTCGCCAATTCCATTCGTCCTCCGTCGAGTGCAGCCTGTTCCAGAGTCACTGCCAAAAGTGCCACTCCGTCCATAGCAGCCAAGAAGTTCTCTGCCATGAGAAAGTCCATGATCATCATGACCTGATACTGAATCTGTCCCAGCTCCTTCACCCTGCCATAGCCCCCAAAACGTTCCAGGTAGCGCACCCCTGAAACACCTCTCTCCAAAAGCTCCATAGCTGTCGCCGAAGGATTGCTGGTCGGCGCCATCCTTCGGCTCATGCTCTGCAGGACACTCTGGAAAAACAAACCTTTGTGCTGGGCCAACTCCAATTGAAGCCTGGATCTCGTTGCAGCTCCTCTGGTCCCCGCTGTCGATGAGGAGCCGGTCAGCTCCGACAGGGGGTCGTTCTGCGAGCTTGCGATTTGAGCCACAAGCGATGTCAAAGCTTTGCTCTGGGCCAAAACTGCTTGGGCCAATGCACCGTCGGAACTCAGGGAAGACCCTTTCAAGCCCTCCAGCCTCTCTTCTGCAAGCTCCTCGACTTCCAACTGCTTGGCAATTCCAGGGGAAGCCAATAAACCAAGGCTCGCTCTCTCTTGAGTCCTGGGAGGCGGCTGCAAACTCTTGACCAGGTCTGACACAGGAGGTGGTGGGCCAGGCAAGGAGGTACTCAAGGTTGATCCTAACGCGGCTGCAGACGCCTTTGCTGTGGGGACCACTGCAAGTCGACTCTCGAGCAAGGTCTGGCGCTCGGACATCACTGTCAGCTGCTTTGTAATCTGCGGGAGTGCATCCAGGATCCCTCGCATCTCTGTCGCAAGGGTTGCTGTTGTAGGCCTCTTGGGCTTTGCACCACCTCCTAAAGGAGTAGCCTTTGCGGGAGGCTTTCTTCGCCTTGGTGTGGCAGGGGTCTCCTCTGCACCTTCTGCCTCCTCTGGGGTATAAAAACCAACCCTCATATCTACGGCCTGACTCACCCACGTTCTGATTTTTGGCAGCAAAGCATCCATTGAGGGCAAGGCGTACGGCGAATCCTCGTCGTAATTGTAGACCAGCTCCTCCTGATATGTGAAAGCCCGCATGTGTTTCACAACGTCTATTGAGCAGTCTATCACCATGACATCGACGTCTGTGCCAGTGGGAGAAACAATCTCGTCCTCGATGATGATGGCTGGGACTGTGAAAACCTGAGAGGGTCCAAAAATCCCCTCCAAATTCCCTTGATTGCCCTCTGACACCAGTTGCCGAGGCAAAAACGTTTGAGGTAGGACGAGAAGGATGCCGCCCTCTCGCCTCATAGCTACCAAAACTGTGGCTTCGGCCTCTCCATCCTCTTCTTCTCCCAATGGCCATGAAAGCACGTATGGCTCTACGGCCGACTCCGCAAGCACCAAGCTGTCTGCATCGAGGCCACCTTCCATACCGTCCATCACATTCATGCTTTAGACTCGTAGTCCACGATGCCTGCACCGGCAAAGTAGATCTTGGCTTCCAGCTCTGATGGGAACCCGTGAGTGATGCTGCTTGAAGATGTGAGATCACCAATGATCCCCCAATAGGTCCCTGCGGACCGGCAAATGGTAGGCAATGATACGCCTGTTGCCCTGAGCACAGCGTAAAAGCGAGGACGTAGATCCAACTGAGGAGTCCTGTTCGGCGACAAAGAGCGCCCGTCTGCAACTGCTTTCGCCCACTGGCCTGCTTTCCAAGCTCGTTTGATACGTTCTTCTCCACTGACTGAAGAACCTGACAGCTTCTTCGCAGAGTCCAGGAAATGGGTCGGGCAACTGTTGAAAGTGGCCTCGATGTCAGCCCTTGTCTCAGCACGTCTGGCAGGAGGACAAAAAGCAGCAGACTGGCTCTGATGAGAAACCAAATCAAAAGAAAGTTCTGATGCCGGAGGGGAAGAAGAACGAGGCTGAGGAGGATCAAGGCCAAGGACCTGTTGCAGCAATGAAGTTGCCTGATCAGAAGGGCCCTGTATAGTAACTCGCAAATCCCCCACTCTACACTCGAGTTCCACACTACCTGCGCCGTTGGAGCTGCTTGGCATCCAGATACCCAGCCAGGGCTGAGTGTCGGTCAACAGGAGGTGAGGGATTGCCAGGGGCAGCAACAGGGGCAGATAGATTAGAAGGTGGCGGGAGGCAAGTCCAAAGAAACCAACAGCCAGCCGAGGCAAGGATAAGTCCACAAATGAGGCCAAGGAGGAAGGTCAGGGCTAGAGATGCCCAGGATGGCTCAGCACAGTAGACAGGGCACCCCCACCCGTAGAAATTTGTCCTGGCTCCCTGCAAAATCAGGGGGACGGCCTTCAAGACACCTTCGAGCATGAAGCTTGAGAGTGATCATTGTAGTTGCATGCTTGATGTCATATATGTATATCTATATATATATATGCATATATGTATATGTGTATATTATATACATATAGCTATATTATCTAGCACATTCTAGCACACATTACCAATTTATCTTGGATGCCTCAACATATGATGTTTTTGTCCAGAATTCCAAACTGCCGCTCTCTAAGGTCACGGCATCTATTTGCCCAGAGCCATCCTGGTCGCAGCGTCGGAAAGAGGCTTCGTAGGCCTGGCACAGTGTGGCAAAGGGATTTTCCCGTTGCGGGGATGTTAAAATATCCCAATTTTCGAAAGAGGATCTCCTGCAAATATCCCCTAATGACCAGCTGGAATTCAGATTCAATATATAACTAAGTCGCATTCATCCCCCAATAGCCTTCAAAATCGTTCAAAATACGTGATTTCACGACCCGCACCTCATCTCGAAAGGCTGCATACTCGCGCAAGAAGGTCACAAAGTCCTTGGTTCAGAAGTTTACTGCAGTCTAAGCCTTCCCTTCCTACACTGCAAAGGTCGCATCATTCAACATATATCGTTTGAGTGGTAAAAGGTGCACAGCTTTGATTTCTGCATTCCTAAAGTAGAAGAAAAAGGCCCCATCTCTAAATAAACGCAGCGTGAAACACGCGAAACAAGCGCGACTGTTTTAGGCCTTTGATTCCATGAAAGATGGAATTGAAACCTATTCTGCTTGTCATCTGCAGTACATTAATTAGCAAGTTGTTCATCTTGGTTACAGTAGCAAACGCGCTAAGGGCATCCACATCGATCTCGATGGTGTTGTACTGTGGGCTGATGCGGGAGAAGATCTCGTCGATCTTGGTCAACGCTCAGGTCGGGATTGGATACTGCGGCCACTCCAGAGATCTTTATGACTTCAGCATGGCAAAAAAAAATCATGAAATGCATAGATCTGATCTGCAGGCAGGATCAGAGGTTTAACTTTGCGGCCATGCAAACGCCAGTCGAAGAAAAGTTCAAACACAGTTCCGGAGATTTGATAACTCATATAATTTTGATCCCATTTCAGCCCATTTCCCAAAGTTTCCAGGTGTGGTTCCTCAAGCCGGGATTCCACACCCAGGCTTGACGCGGACAGACGAAGCCTAAGAGTTCCAAGGCGCGACCCAATTCGGTTCGATGTACCTTTCACCAGAGCAGTTTAAACCTGTCCATTTTTCATAGACATGTCAACTGCAGTCGAATTGGAAAGACTTGGAAGAACTCATCAATTGGAACTGCAATTGACAAATTTCCATTTTCTTTCTAATCCGTGTATTCTGATGTCTGTCCAGGCAATGATGAATACCACAAGAATCACACAAGCAGCATTTGCCTCGTTGTGGTCCTTGACTTTGTCAAATATCTCCTGTCCAACCTGGATCCGCACATGAAAAAATCGTCCAAATCTATACCGACTGACTGAGCCACAAACAAAATGCCTGCGAACTTACCCGGACTTCATAACTGATACTGACTCATGAGATTTCATGAGGAAATTTTATCGGACAAATTGCAGTTTTCCGTGGTTTCAAGGGCAGAGAACCCTATTAATTTTGGAAAGCTGCTGAGGTCAACAAAGTGCCCTGGATTCTGGGCAGATCTCAATTCTAGTCTGCTTGCAGAAAGGGATTTCCACCCATTGCTGTCTGACACATATCGATCCAAATTTCAATCCAGCTGTTTCGCTTGGAACTTAGGATCTTCTATGAATGCAAGCAAACCATCCTGGCAGCAAAGAAGTTGGTGTCTCAGCGGCAGCCTCTTCGAACTCTGTCTCCCCCATCTCAGATTGCGCCATTACAGAAGCCTGCAGACGGACACGTGCTCCAGTATTGGGTGTGCATGACTCCAGGACCCAGCAAACAAGATTCTCAACAAGCAGAACAGACTAGAATAGAAAACTTGTTCAGTTTCAAAAAATGCGGAATCTGTCTTGGTAAGGTATCTTCCAAAAATTATCCCAGCAAGAGGCCCCAAACAGTGTGGGGGTAGTCGGAGGATAATCTAGGATAATGTTGAGGATGATGATGATGATGATGATGAGGAGGAGGAGGAGGATGATGATGACGGTGCTGGCGGTGATGGTGATGCTGATGGTGATGATGCTGATAATGCTGATGATGCTGATGATGCTGGTGATGGTGGTGATGGTGATGGTGGTGGTGAGGCTGGTGATGATGATGATGATGATGATGATGATGATGATGCTGATGCTGATGCTGATAATGGGGATGAGGATGAGGATGAGGATGAGGATGGGGAGGATAATTTTGAGGATGATGAGGATGATGAGGATGATGAGGTGCAGGAGGAGGATGTTGAGGATGATGAGGTTGAGGGTGATGATGTTGAGGATGATGCTGTTGAGGAGGATGGGGATGAGGATGATAATGTGGAGGACCATGATGCTGAAAAGGATGATGATGATGATGATATTGATGATGAGGATGATGGTGATGGTGATGGTGATGGTGATGATGATGATGATGATGATGATGATGATGCGGACGATGATGTTGAGGATGATGCTGTTGAGGATGGTGCTGTTGAGGATGATGATATTGAGGATGATGAGCTGCAGGAGGAGGATGTGGAGGATGATGATGTGAGGAGGATGAGGATGAGGATGATGATGTTGAGGAGAAGGAGGAGGAGGAGGAGGAGGATGATAATGCGCAAGATGAAGTGGAGGAGGACAAGGTGGAGGATGATGATGTTGAGAAGGAGGAAGATAATGATGTTGAGGATGAGGAAAAGGATGAAAATTTTGCGGAAGATGAGGTGGAGGCGGAGGATGTTGCGGAAGATGAGGTGGAGGATGATGATGTTGAGGATGAGGCTGTGAAGGGGGAGGAAGATGATGATGTTGAGAATGATGAGGTTGAGGAGGAGGACTGATCCCAAGACCTAGGGCCTCACTTCGTGCGAGCCGGCACAGTCGAAATTCACTTCAATATTTCACAAGAGCCACCTCATACAGAAATTTACAGGAAAAATGCCGCGCCCCAGAACCACGGCGCAGACTTTGTGCGAGCCTGCGCAGTCGAAACGCATGTCAAGCTTTCACAAGAGCCAGTTTATACGGAAATTTACAGGAAAAATGCCGCAGCCCAGATTGAGCCCGGAACCCGGACACACATTTTGTGCGAGCCTGCGCAGTCGAAACGCATGTCAGGATTTCACAAGAGCCAGTTTATACGGAAATTTACAGGAAAAATGCCGCAGCCCAGATTGAGCCCGGAACCCGGACACACATTTCGTGCGAGCCTGCGCAGTCGAAACGCATGTCAAGATTTCACAAGAGCCAGTTTATACGGAAAATTACAGGAAAAATGCCGCAGCCCAGATTGAGCCCGGAACCCGGACACACATTTTGTGCGAGCCTGCGCAGTCGAAACGCATGTCAAGATTTCACAAGAGCCAGTTTATACAGAAAATTACAGGAAAAATGCCGCAGCCCAGATTGAGCCCGGAACCCGGACACACATTTTGTGCGAGCCTGCGCAGTCGAAACGCATGTCAAGATTTCACGAGAGCCACTTTATACGGAAAATTACAGAAAAAAAAATGCCGCGGCCCAGAGTGAGCACTCTGATCAAGCCCCGGCCTTTACAGCTACCGTAAGATACCGCAAGAACCCCTATGAACCCCTCAGTATGGACATACTGTTTGGGGAAAAAGCACCTTGTCGAATGAGCGGGTTGTTTGGTATCGACGAGTATATCCCTTTTCCAAGACTGGTCCTGTCAGAAGGTGTGGACTTTCAACAGCGTGATTGATGCATGCTGCATACTCCAATCTACGGTCATTCCTTGTGCACATTCAAGCACTGTCATGAAAGAATTGGATTCTTTCCAACTGATAAGAACCCAACGCTCCAGAGGCCAAGAAAAATAACTCTCCCCATATCTGCCATGCTTGACACATGGCAACTAACCTGAAACTGACATATTGAGAGTTTATCGAGTCTTCGCAAATTAAATTGCAAAGTTCGATCACCCGCTCCTGAAACCGTGGAGATGCCATCACCTTAGCATGCAAAAAGAAAGGAGAAAAACCA